ACGGACGAAGGAATGTGTGACGTTGAACGTTATTCGATCTTCACTGATGTTTCCAAATTTTCAAATTGGATAGCTAAGGAAATGGACATTGAAACTGATATGACGTGCAAGTTTGTTCTACATGGAAAGAGAAATAAAAGATATCACTGCTACCCAAAAAACCTCGTCATTCAGCAGCCTAATGTAAATATTACAGTAATGATGGGAGTTCATTTAGGAGAACGTAACAACAGCGACGTCCACTATTTTCATATCGTAAACCAAAACACATCATATCTGCCACGTGGAATTCCGGAACTCTTTCCAAACGTGATAAGATATAGGGCATATGAAACAAAATTGAAGTACATTCAAAGAAGTGATTTTAGCGGATTTCAATTTTTGACAATCATAATTATGGCTAAAAACGAAATTGTTAATATTCCAGCAGACACCTTTTATGATGTACCAGGCTTAGAACTGTTAAATCTTCATGGAAATCAGATTGCTTCATTTGACGTCGATTTGTTCATCAAAAGTCCCAAATTAGTAGAATTTTTTGCTTACAAGAATCAAATTGAATATCTCGATGGTCGACTTTTTAGAAAAAACTTCTATTTGGAGGAAATCCACATGGATTTTAATAAACTTAAGCATATCGATGTGGAATTGTTTACACCTTTGGAGAGGTTGATATCAGCTGACTTTCGTCACAATACTTGCATTTCAGAATATTTTCCTGAAACTAAAGATTTCGAAAGCTTCAAAGCTATAATAGTGACAAATTGTAGTATCTAGAAGGTTAGCATTTAGAATTTATTGGTTAGCAATAGATTGAAAAAAAATAATTTGAAAAATTCAACTGAAGTAATTTTAATAAGATAACAAATTAAACAGTAACAGATTTAACAGTGTAAAAACCAAACAAATTAAAGTTTCTATGTCAACATTTTTGATAATCACTGTTTTCCAGAGGATACATAAATATGTTAGTTGAATACTAAAGATATGCAACTGAGATGATACAAAGTAGATACTTTAACTTTAACTGTTTGTATGCTCAATAATATACCATACATTCGTATGCTCAATAAAAACCATATTAGGTATTTCATTTATGCTACCTAATTCATCATTATCAGCAGAGTAAAGAAAACATGCCAGTTTACTAAAGCGGTTACATTAGTTCAATAAAGCAAACTTGACCCCTTTGCTACCCACTTAATTAATGTAAACTATGAAACTTTTTAAGGATGTAGGGGGGTTGGCCAATTATGACACCACCCGAAAACGCGTCCAATTATGACACCACTTTCTTTTAATTTAATTTTAGCAGCGATTAGGGCTTACCGGAAGAAATGATATTTTAATTATTTATCCTTAAACCTTCCTCTAGCGTTATGCATTAACACATTCGTTCATCTAAATCTTGTTTTCTAAATAATTGCTTTGGATCATTGATCGGTCAAAAGCAACAAAAAACACGAAAAAAATGTTAAGCGACAGCCCGACAAAACAAAAACTCGCGATATTTTACTTGGAAACACGCTAAATTTTGAAGCAAGACAAACAAAAAGAAGCAAAAGTTTGTTTACATTTTGCAATTAAATTTGAAAATCAAAATTCAAAGTGAAAAAGCTCAAAAAAGTGTTTATAAACCATTAAATAAAACATTTAAAACAAAATTCAACATTTAAATAATTATTTGCTTTTAAAAATAACAAAAAATGCGAACTAAAATTTAGTTTTGCTTCCTGGTGTCACAACTAGCCAAGGGAAGCAGAAGTGGTCCGTATGAACCATTTCAACGTGATGGGATCTTCGCGTGGGAACAGACTTTGGTTATTTTCCGGCATCAAATAATAATTATTCTGAAATTTTAATCATGAAATTGTTTGCATAAGTTATATAAATAAATTCGAATCTAAATTTAGCATACACATGTGGACATAATCAGTTTAAAAATAAAAATATTTATTTATTGCTTGGATTACATTGAATAGATTATCAATGTTCATAAACATAAATTTGTTTTCTATTGAATATGAAATAAATACTGAAGTGTCTGAAAACGTAGACTTATTGGCACAATGATTTAAAGATATCAGTTCCACATCTCGCAGTGATTTCTTTCAATGTTGTTGAAATTTCCACTTGGCAAAATTTTTTCAACGCTTTGATATTGAACTTTCCACACATTTTGTATATTTTCCCATCCGTCCTAAGAGAAGGTTTAGTTAGTGGCTCTAACTTTATCCTCCTCAAATATTTCAATACTCTTCTGTATTGCTTTGGATATGCGATAGAATTTGGTGTGAGAATGCGGAGAAGAAGTTTAGCACCGCGATCAAAAGCGGGTGATGAATATCCTTGACTTACAATCACTGTTAAGAACACCACAATCACAAAAATATTAAATTTTCCAGCCATTTTTTATATCCAAATAATAATTAAGTATAATAGTGACGACGTTTAGAAAATCTCTTTTTTGCTTTAATTAGCTCGACTTTGAATATTTTGCTACTACTTACTAAGTAGTTGATTATAGCATTGACAATTAATGTATGTATCGAAAAAGCTCTGAGTTTTATACCAGAAAATTTGAAGTACTCAAAAATCCCGAAAGTTTAAAACCTTTGATAAGATTATTCCAACGTCTATTTATNTTATATTTAACGGTATTGTTACAATTTTATGGTTTTTGCGCCATAATTGATAATCATAATGATGAACTAATTGATCTTATTCATTTTTTGCTGAATTCAATTACATTTTGAATAAGGAAATTTTGCAATGTCCTCAATGACCCATTAAGTGCCATGAGTACTACAAATTTGAATGTTTTTCTAATAAACTAATGTTTTTTTAATTTTTATATATTCTCAACAGATCCAATATCGAGAATATGTAATACTTAAGCACATAATTTATTGAATTTTTATTCAAAATAATTTTTAATTACATATAATCATGTATCTGCTGACGGTTTTACGAGAAAGTAAATCCACCACTCATCAAATCGATATAAAATGTGACTTAAGTTCACTTCAACATATTCATATGATCCTCCTGCTTTAATTTAAATCATATTTTAGAAGATGGTATCTCGATATGATGGCAAAATGGCCAAAATATCTGAGAGATAATCCATCAAAGTATCGTGTAAACCGAAAAAAAAATTTTTCACCGTGCATCATGCAAATGCTAACTGAAATTATGAATTTCATGCTAATCTGATCCCTTCTAATAATTTCAGTTACCATTTGCATGATACACGGTGAAAAAAAATTTTTTTCGGTTTACACGATACTTTGATGGATTATCTCTCAGATATTTTGGCCATTTTGCCATCAAATCGAGATACCATCTTCTAAAATATGTTTTAAATTAAAGCAGAAGAGTCATATGAATATGTTGAAGTGAACTTAAGTCACATTTTATATCGATTTGATGAGTGGTGGATTTACTTTCTCGTAAAACCGTCAGCAGATACATGATTATATGTAATTAAAAATTATTTTGAATAAAAATTCAATAAATTATGTGCTTAAGTATTACATATTCTCGATATTGGATCTGTTGAGAATATATAAAAATTAAAAAAACATTAGTTTATTAGAAAAACATTCAAATTTGTAGTACTCATGGCACTTAATGGGTCATTGAGGACATTGCAAAATTTCCTTATTCAAAATGTAATTGAATTCAGCAAAAAATGAATAAGATCAATTAGTTCATCATTATGATTATCAATTATGGCGCAAAAACCATAAAATTGTAACAATACCGTTAAATATAAGAAGTGGTCTTATACAAAATTCGCACCACAAAACACATTTTTGTCTATCACTATTCCTTCTGTAGATAAAGTTGAACTTTTTTTTGATAAAAAGGTAAGTTTGAAGGAGAAGAATAATTGTGCATCATTAGATTTTTTTTGCAGCTTCTCATTCTTGAATTATTAGTATAAATAAGGGTGGTCTTATAGATACTTCTCGCAGTGTAGTACAGTTGAACCACAATATGACGATGGCTGAAGGGATTGCGTTTTATTGAACAAATTTTTGTTTAATTTTTAATGTTTAGGTCGGCGTCGATAGATGTCGCTATAATAAAGCGAAGAGATTTGTTCAAGAATTGTGAAAAACGACGTCGCCGTTTTATATGCTGAATTTTCTAATGCATTAATGTATATTATTCTGCATTATGTGCATTATGTACATATTTAATTTATCATCATTAAAATTGTTCATTGAATGATCGACTGAAATTATTATTATTTACCTGATATTTAAATTTCGCGCTAAATAGTAAGATAATTTTTTTAACACACGAATTTCAACTTTAATTTCTGAGCATGAAAGGTTCATTTTCTCAAATTTGATCAACTGTTTGTTTTGATTTTACATTGGAAAGGAATTAGGTAGGTACTATTAGGATTTTAAATACCTATCTAGATAAATAAAAGAAATTATAATTCTGAAGCAATATAAAATTGCAAAACATTTTTGTAGCGCAATCTGCACATAAAAATCGCATCGTTATGGATCAACCTGCTTGGAATCATGAAACAATTCAATTATACACAAAAGCGATGGATTTTGCTGCTGTAAAACATCGTGATCAACGACGAAAAGATGCCAGTGAAACACCATACATCAATCATCCAATTGGTGTTGCTAATATTTTGACATCCGAAGGGAAATGCTTTGATTTTGAAGTTTTAATAGCCGCTCTTTTGCATGATACTGTTGAAGATACTGACACAACATTCTCAGAAATTGAAACACTCTTCGGCGAAAAGATCGCAAACATAGTGAAGGAAGTCACCGACGATAAAACTCTACCAAAGATGACACGAAAAGAACTTCAAATTGAAAAAGCCAAAACTGCAAGTACAAAAGCCAAACTTGTAAAACTTGCTGACAAGTTGTATAACTTGAGAGATCTTCAGCGCGGCTTGCCGGAGGAATGGACTGAAGAACGAAGATCTCAATATTTTATTTGGGCAAAGAAAGTTGTCGATAACTTACGTGGAACAAATCAAATGCTAGAAGATTCCTTGGATGTCGTGTTTCGAGAACAGAAGTTGATTGATTAGAAATAAAATTATTATTATTTTATTCAATGTCTGAATTACTTTTATCACATTAGATGTTCATTGATTCATAGTTAATTAAGGTATTTGCGTGTAAGTTGTTGGATAAACATATCTCGTGTAAATAACTTGTCGTGGTTGATCAGTGCAACAACAAATACTGCAAATTGTGCAAACACAATACCAGAGACAACCACATAAAAGGAAAATAATGACAAACAATCCTAAACCGATCCAAGTGAAGAATTTCCCAAGCCAATCGAAGCATTCTTCATCGTAATGAACGACACCATCAATTGTACAATTGATCCAATGAGTTTTATTTTCTAATGATTCATAAGATGAACGATCGCCATTTTTACTGATTTCTTGCGCATTAATCCACAAAGAAAATGTGATTAAAATTACAGCTGATAAAATTTGATGTCTACAAAATAAGGAAGATAAAATTATCTAATTAGGTATTTAAATCACAAAATGGCAAAGCACAACTTACGTAGCTGACATTTTTAATCAGCCTAATTTACGTATCAGTTTCACAATAATTAGAAAGAAGTTGATAAGTTATTAAAATAAAATGAAATTCTCAGAGCTATTCAGAAACAAACAAAGCAAAGCTTATTTATGAAAATACAAAATCAAACTGAAATAAATGCGAGCAGAGAGAGAACAACTCGTAACATGAGTCACCGAGTAAAAAAGAAAAACTACAAACACAAACAAACTTCACGATTGCTGGCTTCAAATGTGACATGACGATTATCTTGATAAAGAATTATTTTAAACTGAATCACTTTTTAATCAAATATTTATTTAATCTTGAGTGTAGAAATGATTCCTTTAAGGAATTGTAGAGTAATTTGGATATTCCCTTGTGAACATCCTAGGATCATATCGATCGTTGCAGAAAATAATTCTACACAGAAAACAGATGCAGTACCACAAACACCCACAAAATAAGAAAATCAAAATGAGAATGCCGAGGCCCATCCACGTTAGAATTCTCTTGAAGAAATTCGTGCAATCTTCGTCATAGTAGACGACATTGTTAATGGTGCAATTAGCGTAGTGATCAGTAGAGTTGCCAAGATTCACGTCTAATTGCGCAGTCACAAAGGTGAAGTAGGTGATGAAAATTGAAATAAACAATTTAATGCTGTGAAAAGAAAATTCTTTCTGTAACTTTTATCAAAGATCAATAGAAATTTTTGATGAAACCTTGAAATCATTTTTTATGTTTCTTGTAAAATTTCACTTCTGTCAATTGCGAATTTTTTCAATTTAACACTGTCAAGTTATTATTTTTATTACTTTTCGATAATTTTTTTTAATCTTTCTTGTTCACATTTGCGACACAATTTAAGTACAAACACCGCAAGTAGAAACAAAAATTGTTGTATGAGTTTTTTTGTCGAGAAAATATTTTTTTGTTTTTCTATCTTGCGATTGATGACAAACAAACACAAAATGAATTTTCAGTGTCGGTGATGCAAAGTCACATGCGCAGCGCAAATCCAATTAACAATTAATTGTTTTCGTAAGAGTATGATCGATTAATAAATTTAGTTGATTAGAATTTTGATATAATTTTTTGGGATTTCAATTCTCAATTTGGGTTCATAAAGTAATTTTACTTGCATGAATTTATGAAGATATCATTAATGAAACTAATTTACATTATCACTCACTCATAAACAAACTTTTATGGCTTCAATATCGAGTAATTCAGATATTTCCGGTTGCTTGCTTTCTCCCTTGTTTTGTTACTTCAATCAATAAATTTTGTGATTCTCACTAAGAAACAATTCACATTTATTACCTAATTTCTTCTAACAATTGATATTTATATTAAAATAACAAATTTAAAACTGATTATTCTCACATCTTTATGTGACAACTTCATTCCCCCTCATTCTCGATTAAAATCTCAAACCTTCTTCGAGCATTTCGAGATTCTCTTCTTTGAATATACAAGAAGATTAAAATGCAAACGAACGACAATCCTAAAAAGCAAAAGAACACGACGAAGAAGCAGTGTCTCATCCATTCTCCACAATCATCGTCATATAAAACTTTCCCTCCATATATGCAAGTTTTGTTCTGATCGGTTGTGTTACCAAAACTCTCTTCATCGTCACCGATGTCATCATAATAATCTTCATCAGACGATGAATATGATGTTGAGTTAGTTTCTTTAACTTCTATGCTTTGAACGTCAGCTTTCAACAAGTGAAAGTGAAAAGACATCAAAATAGATGCAATTAACAAGAAGCTTAAAGGAATGAAAAAGGAGAAATGAAAATTTGAAGAATTTTAATTTGCCAATCTTTATCTACCGTCGTTTAATCGTCATAATTTCTTCAATTTTATATAATCAACCACAACACGATATATTTTTTCACACTTCTCTTAACAATTTCTCAAATATTACTGACGAGAAGAATGGATGAAATAAGAAATTCAATTGATAACATTTTCTAAATAGCAGGGGGCGAACACAGTTGGTTTGTCATGGTAAACACGAGTTGTGATGAGAGATCTTCAAGTTGTTCTTCACTGCAAACACATACATTAAGTCTTACAAACATAAACAGCCCCTCAAATTCAAACTTTTTTTTTTCTTCTTATCTAAATCAAAACAATCGATTTTGTTGAATTTATCATTTTTTTTCTCTCCTGTTTTTTATTCTTATCAAATCACGTAAACGAGATTAAAAGTTTTAACAGATACACCGAAATAATTTTTAAATCTTTTCAATTCGTAAGAACAATCCACCTTCGGGTGATAGAATAAGGTTCGTTTTAGAGAAAGCTAAAGGAACTTCAGTTTTATCAGATTTATGGAATTTGAATTTCGATAAAAGTGTAGCGAGACCAACTTTCGTTTCAGTCATGCCAAAACGCATTCCAATGCAGATTCGTGGCCCTTCACCTTTTTTTTTGAAAATGATAAAAAAAATTTATTCTGCAATAATTAAAATAAGATTTGAAGTCTTACCAAATGGGAGGAAAGCCATCGGATGTCTCTTACTGGCTTCTTCTTGTGAGAACCTTTCAGGAATGAATTCTTCGGGATTTTCATAGATTTCAGGGTCATGATGAATGGCATAAACAGAAATTAATACAGTTTGATCCTTCTTAAAGACAACCGTCGAGTCAGGCACATTATAATCTTTGGTAACTGTTCGAACGATATTAGCAGCTGGTGGAAACTTGCGAAGAGCCTCTGCAAAATTATTAAGAGATTTAATTAATGATAAATAAAAAGTAAAAAATCTTCACCATTAATGCATTGCTCAAGATAAGTCATTTCACTGAGTGCTTCGTAAGTTATCTTCCCACCATGACGAGCCAAAACCTCTTGAACATTTTTTCTTGCTTTTTCTTGAATGTCTTGATTTAATGACAGTTCGTGTAAACAGAACATCATTGTTGTTGAACTTGTTTCAAAGCCCTTAAAAAATAAAATAATTATTGATCTAAAATTATGACAAAAAAACCAAGAAAGTTTAACTCACAGCTAAGAAGAAAACGAAAGCTTGTGCAGCTACTTCTTCAACTGTCAATCGTCCTAACTTCAGTCGACTGGTACTGTCACCCTCATCTGCCAATTCTCCATCATTCTTCAATTGAAGCAAAAGTTGCATGAAATCATTTCTCTTCACTTCATTTTTCTCACGATATTCAATCACATCTTTGACGATTTTCATGAAAAATTCTGCAACATCTTCGCGAATTGTTTTAACTCCCATTTTTCTTGCAAACTCTGGATAAACCAATGAGATGATTTGTTTGAAGAAAGCGTTTCTCGGTTGCTGGAAGACTTTCAATCCCATTTCAAGAAACTTTGAATTTTTGTCTTCAATAGAATTGCATTCGATGCCAAACGCACATGATCCGATGATGTCGGTGGTGAAACGAGCGAGAATATCTTTAATTTCAGGTTCTGAATTTTCTTCAATTGTTTTCGTCATTTGAATTTCGAATCTTGTGGCAACTTCAAGGATCGTCGGCAACATTAATCGCATTTTACCAGAAGTAAATGTTGGTGTTATCTTTTCTCTCAGCTTCTTCCAATATTCACCTTCAATGTTGACCAGATGACCTGACAATGGATCATCTTTGACGTTGAAATAAATGCCACGGTTGTGAAAGTATTGGAAATCTCTTATCAGCACAGTTTTAACAAAGTCAAGATCAGTGAGTAGAATAACTGGCTTTGTAAAGAAATAAATTCCTACAAATTTTCCTTTCTTCTTCAACTCATCGTAAAATTTTTTAAATAGTTGCGATGAGTGAACTCTCCTTTTACCACCTGCAACATTCAATTTTATATAAAGTTTAACGAGCATTAAACATCTCACCTTGAATATTTCCTAAAGGGATTGAAGGTTTAATGTGAGGAACTCCAAGACTCTTCCAGTAATTGAATTTATATTTGAAATAGAGATACAAAAGGAATGATATAAAGCAGAAAAAAAGTAGAACATCGACGAGGCTTATCATGATTGTAAATTGTCAAGTTTATCGCTGTATGTAATATTATTTGCTTCGTATGTTTAATATGCCACAAGTGTAGAACACTTCATAGATTGTAATAATAAATTACTTATATCTGAAATTATTTCAATTGTATGACGTTAATTTGATCTTCAATCACTTGTCATTAATATTTGTTTATGATGTCATCTACCAGATGGATGTAATTATGATTTTTTCAACTTTTTTCTTGCTTCTGATTACACTGCAGTGAGATGTTGAGCACGAATGAAAATGATTTCAAAGCTGCCCGCTTTAAATAAAGAAAAATTATTTTCAAGAACGAAAGAAACAAAGAACGAGATGGGAAACTTCCAATGACGTTATCAACAGAACAACTGGAAAGTGGAACAATTGGAATAAAAATCAAATTTATATAAACAAAAACTTTTTTTTATTTACAGCTCATCTTTTTGAGATGAAAACTTTCCTGGATAAACTTTGTTCTCAAGAGTTACACTTTCACAACGTTCTTGTTCGATTAAGAAATCTTTAGCTGCCCATGATTGTGCGCCTTCAGAAAACATAAAAATTGCTCGATTTGTGTCGATCATGTAACGTTCGGCTTGAATGTGATTATTCCAAAGGCTTGTTTGCCACAGTTTTGTTATTTCTTCTGCTTCATCTCGTGTTGGATTACCAGACACTGTCACAAATGTCATTACAGTCTGTCCTTTCTTTGTTTGTTGCAAAAGTTCTTCGGGATTGTTCATGTCAATCTTAGAAAAATCTACTGGTGGCCTAGGACGAAGATGTTCTGGTAGCTCATCAGGTTCCAATGGTTCTTCATCTTCCTAGAAATTAAATTATCATTAGTATAGTTTATAAAGCGTGGCATAAAACAATTTGCTTACCTCCCATTGATCTAGTAATCGTTCCAAATCTGCTTCAGTGTAATCTCGAATATCTTTCTTTGCCCACTCAGGTTTTTCATCTTTCGATGTTTTTTTACTACTCACAAGATATGTGAATAAGATTAAATTTAATATAATGCAGATTCCTATAATTTTCATTTTAAATTTACTACAATTCTGAAAATGCAAAAATGCTGAATAATCGAAATGAGATTTTTGATCTAAAATAAGAAAACAAATGAAATTTGAACTTTCCAGTGTTGGAAGTTTCGACTGGAAAGTGTAAACCGGCTAACTTCCAGTTTACTATCATTGAATACAAAACAATTTAATTAAAATTGATATTAAAAGAGATGAGCTTACGAGCACAGATTGGTCCATCAATTTTAAATGCTGACTTGTCTCAGCTTCATAGTGAGTCTCAGAAGTTGCTTGATAATGGAGCAGATTATTTGGTAATACGAAAAACATGATTTCTTGAATTAAGTAGATCAAATTGATTTCTTGATCATTTTAGCATTTAGATGTAATGGATGGTCATTTCGTTCCTAATCTGACTTTCGGCCATCCTGTTGTGAAATGTTTACGTAGCAAGATCAAGGTAAATTGTTGTTTATTAATTATTTGAAAAGTAATAACGTGGACTTGAAACAGGAAGCTTTTTTTGAAACGCACATGATGGTTTCGAAACCGGAGCAGTGGATTAATGAGATGGCTGATGCACAAGTTGATCAGTACACATTTCATATAGAACCTGTTGAGGATGTTGCTGCTGTTTGTCGGAAAGTTCGAGAAGCGGGAATGAAGGTTGGATTAGCGATAAAACCTAAAACACCAGTAGAAGCTGTCGAACTGTTCATTGAGATGGCAGATCTTGTACTTATTATGACAGTTGAGCCTGGTTTTGGTGGACAAAAGTTTATGGAAGATATGATGCCTAAAGTCAAGAGACTTCGCGACAATCATCCTCTTTTGAACATTGAAGTCGATGGTGGCGTTGCTTTGAATACAATTGACTGCTGTGCGAAAGCTGGAGCCAACTGGATTGTTTCAGGGACAGGAATAATAAAAGCACAAGATCAACAAGCAGTTATGAAGCAATTGAAAGATTCTGTCACTCAAGCCATTACTGAATATTCAAAATAATTTTTAATTGAATTTTAAGAAGAAAAAATTAAATTGTGATCGAAATTTTTTAATAAAATGTTGATTTGGTTCTTCGTTCCTGGAAATTTGCTTGTAAATCTTTTCAATGCATGTTGATCATCCTGGAAAGCTTCAATCAAAGAAAGCTTTCAAAGCTGCAATCACAAAAGCTCAAAAGTTTTAATTTTTAATTTTTTTTATTTAATTTTTCTATTGTATTTTTATAATTCCAGCCATTGGTTTTTTGTTTTAAATAATAACTTTTCTGTGTTGTTTCTTTTTCTTCTTCTTTCACTTGTTTTTAGACAATCATTATAGTATAATTATACTTAATTATTTTTTTTAGTTCATATTTTACTTTATCATATTTTCTTCATCATTTTCTCATCATTATTAATAGTAGTACTTAATTTACTTCTTCCTTTTTCTGCTTCCCATTCACTTCATCCTGCAATTTCAATTTGATTTTGCAATGCGGTTGTTTCAATGCTTTTAATCTTATTTAACTGCAAAAATTACAAATATTCTCATCATCTTCATCTTTGCTTTATCATTATCTTTTTTTTTATTTTTTAGATTATAAACGACGATCAAAAAGTTTTTTTTTTCTTCTTCATTTGCATAATCACTGATTATTAATCAGAGAACAAATTTGCGATGACTTAAAGACAAAAAATTCACCGCAAAATCGTTCATTGCATGTTATTTCTAATTCTGTTTCTTTTTAGATATATTTGTATTTATATATAAATTAAGAATAAATTTGTTAGCATGACTGGAATCGACGATTTTTCTTCTTCATCATTGAATAAAAAAATCAGTTTTTTTCTTACTTTTTTTATTCTTTTTTTTTTACTTTGTAATTCTTGTTTTTCCGGGGGAGAAAAATTTGCTCATTATTTTTACACACAAAGGGACTAAAATTGGTAAAAAGTTTTTATTATTTTTTTCTTTATCTTCTCAATAATGCATGGTTCCTTTATACACATTTAATAAAAAAAAGAATTGTTCATCATGAATGCTTAGCCCATGTTCGCACATGTCTCGCGTTATGGTAAGTAAAACCTATTTTTTCATTTATTTTTTTCGTATTAGGAGTTTGACTAAAGTTACTTATGAGTCAGTTGACGGGTATGAGTACCGATCCTTCTGATGAACAGATGCGAAATAAAAAGAAAGCGGTGAAAATTCTCGTGAAGATTTCTCAGTTTGTGTTTTTCTTTCTTTTTCTTTTGTTTTCAACGCACATTTGAAGTTGGAACCAGACGGCGTTGTTCAAAGCATTTCGCCATCGTTTACGCTTCCAATTGGCTCTTTCGAAAGCGCAAAGACTGAAGTTGTTGATGTTTGAAAGTAGCGAATGCAATTAAAAGTTAAACTTTGAAATCATCACAAGAATTATCAGCGAGATTCTCATGCAATATGAAGCTTTTAATTAAAACTTTTCTTCATCTTCTTTTCTAAGAAATATTTTCTAATCTTTTCAAAAATTTCTTTTAATCTCTTTTTTCATATCTTAAAGATTTTTTTAGATGTTGTTATGTTATCATTCGCATTTATTTATAAAATACACTTAAATGCAAAAACGGTTCTCAATTTCTCGGAAACTTTTTATTTCCATTCATTTTTTATATTTTCATTATGCAATTTATTCATTCTTAAGAAATACTTTTCAAATGGATTTTTCTTAAGTGTCGTATGCAAGCGGTGGCAAGTTTTCACAAGAAGATCAAGGCTCTTAAAATGTCCGAGTGTCTCGTGGGCGACTGAAACACGGGGATATTTTATACTTTCTGTTTCGTCAAGTTTAGCGATGATCACAACTTGATGTTACAGATTTTTCATCTCAGCGATAACTTTTCTCCGCTTTTCATTGCGTTAAACTTTTTTTTAAAGAAGAAATGCGTTTATGTTCACCTAATGTTTCTTTTCTTTCTGCTCAATAAGTTAAGGTTTCTGGTTTTTCTCTTTTGACACATAATTTTTTTAAGTTTTAAGTGATTTTTCTCGTTTTATTAGAAAAGTTTTTTTTTTCATTTTAATTTTAGACCCGCTTGATATTTTTCAAATGAATGTGAAAGCGCAGTGTGATCCTCAAACGATCAAATGAATCGATTAAGATCCCGATTATCATTTGTAAAATCACCTGACGATAAAAAAGAAATTCCTTTGATCTGTCTCAAACTTTATGTTTTTGCTTTCTTTCTTTTTGTAGAAATCTTTGAGACGGTCTTCTGGATCGTCTTAAAACGTTCATAAGAATACAAGACGAGCCGGTAAACCGCTCAGAATTTTAATTAAAGTGAATAGAATATAATATAAAAGTTTGCAGCATTTTTTTTTCTTAAAATGGACGATTTAACTTTACTCTCATTTAATTCCAGAGGCTACTTCCGGTACTGGGAAATCTTTACGAATTAAAAACTTTTTCGTTTGATCTTCGACCAGTTCAAAAGCCTGAAACTATTTTTTTTTCTCTTTAAATTTATGCTTGAAAGCAATTAAAAAATGAAGTCTTAAAAATTATGAAAGAATTTAATGAATGACTCATAAATTTAGTTAAATTAAAAAAAACAACATTAATCATGCCTTGATTAAACGTTTCTTCTTTGTCTCCAATTCATTTCTTAATCGGATTTCTTTCTTCGTTCTCATCTCTTTTTTTTGGCACACGATGTTGTGAACTTAAAGTTAAACAAGAAATCTTTGCAAAGTGAAGCTTACAACTGGAATTAATTATACATTAATTATGTGTAAATAATTTCGTCTAATGAACAACCCAAATTATTAGCGTAACAAAATAAAAAAAAATGTTTGCTTTAAAGATCATCTTTGAAAATTTTTCTTTTATGCCACGAACACACAGCGAAGCTTTATTAATTTTCCATTTTTTTTTGTTTCTTGAAGTTTTTCTAAGCGAAGAAATATCCAGCATTTCAAACAGCACGATTTAAATTAAAAACTTCGTGAGTTGCTTAAAGTTTTTCATCATCTTTCAACAGTTTGACAAACTTTTCTTCGACTAGAATGATAGCATTTGTACGTCCCGAGATTAGATTATTTATGTTAACGGGAAACATTTTTTTTTATTTCTCTCGTTCTTTGTTCACAACTCTACAATAAGAAGAAACTGCTGACTAAACTTTCTAGCTAAATATCCGACAACTCTTCTTCTCATGACTGAAAAAAATTTAATTATTTCTTCAATTTCCGGTCAGGCTTTTGAGAATGCATGAGATACAAATTACAAAAAAAAATTATTAAAAAACCAAAAATAAAATGTTTATTAGCAACAAATAATCTTAAACAGAATGATTCGTCTCTCGAGATTGTTTTGTGGCATAAAGTAGTCGACGACTGAATGGTCACATGCATACATAAAAAATATAATTAATCTCTTAACATATTTATATTAATTTTTTTAATAAATCCTTATTGCGTAATCATAATCATTACATCAAAAAGTCAAAAAAAAAGAAATGGCAAGTTTGACGAAGTTTCCTTCTTCTTCACAAAATATTTTTAATTAAAGTTAAAAAATAAAATAAACTTTACAAACCTATAAAAAAATGGGGGAAAATGGATAGTCAACGATATAGGAAATTATTAATCTGCTAAGCTTTCACAATTATTTATAAGCCACGATATTATGCTTTTCATTTGTTTTTCATGGGAATTTAATGTTAAAGTTTTATTGATGCACGATGCTGGATGTACGGTATGAGGAAAGAAAAACTATTTGAAGATTTTTCTTTCATTTGCTTTTCTCTTACTAACAAGTTACTTGAAGTAAATTTTCTTATCTGTTTTAATTGTAAGTTGTAACAAAAAAAAGTGTAAAACCGAGAATTGGGTCAAGTTAAGTGAAAAATTCTTTTTTCCAGCTTTCAAATGAAAAAAGCTTCGATTCTCTTACATTAGAATACAATTTTTAAAATGTTTAATTAAAGAATCAAAGAAATAAAAGATGAAAATTTTTCTTTTTCTGAATGTTAAATAAAGCGACAATTAAATCATCACCTTTTTGCTTCACTTTTCCAAAGAAATTACAGAATAATTACAAGGTAAATATTATTAAACTTTCTTTTAATTATGCTGTATTATGTTGTTGTTGCCTTGACGAAGCTTTTTTTTCTTAACATTTTTTTTTCGACTCATTCTTGTTGCTTGCGCTCGATGAAATCTTTTTATTTTCTCTGTTTTCTTTCATTTAAGAGGAAAAACAGTGGAAAAGTAAAATCAGAAGAAAAAGTTGTACGAATTACTGCTATTGTGATTACAGAAGGAGATGATTGTTTGCCGATGAATTTGTCACAACAAAGATGATTGTTGTTCAAACTAAATTGTATTCTTTTAGATTTGATTGTAAAATTGTGTCCTTCACTGCGGCAAATACAAATCTAATGTTTTCCGTATCTAAAAAAATTTACGAAGAAAGAAAATTATTTGTTGAGATATTTCTAAAGATCATGCATAAATGATAATTATTATTAGAAACCTTCCTGGAAAATAATTTCTAATTTCATAGAAACAATTTTAAATTCTAACAAAATGATGATTTCACACATCCGATCAATCTTGTGTTAATTTTAAAAGCAAATCGAAAACTTATTTAAATAAATGACGGTTGGTTATGGTAGAATTCTAAAGTATTTACAATTTATAAGCGTCATTTGAATTGCACATATTTGCTTATTACCTATTAATAGCATGCAACAATTTGTCAATCATCCAATAAAAACTAAATTAACACAAAATGATATTCGACATTTACCTGTGGCGCATGTAAAATGGGAATAAATAATTTTCTCTGAATCGGGATTCAAATCTACAAACATTCGTAAGATAAATTCTCTAGCTGCTATGGCATCTCGCTGTGGTCCTGTTTTATAAAAGTTTAGAAAGAATGTTAGCTTACAATTAGCAAACTTTGATTACTTTAGCGATATTTCAGCTTTAAATCAACAAGCAACGATTAAACTTACCATCGTATTCGGGAAAATAGTCCACCAAATGTGAATACATGATTTTCTCTTCCAGCAAATCTTTCTTATTTAAAAACAGAATAACCGACGAGTGTTGGAACCAAGGATAGGTGATGATGGTTTTAAATAAAGCTTTTGATTCCTCCATACGATTCTAAAGATAATAATAGAGAATTAGTTTGAATGTTTACAAACAAAGTGTTAAAGTGACTTACTTCATTTTCTGATTCAAACAGGATTTGATCGTACTCAGATAATGCAACTAAGAAGATAATTGATGTCACATTCTCAAAACAGTGAATCCATTTCCTTCGTTCAGATCTCTGTCCACCGACATCTACCATTCTAAATAGTGTAAAAATAATCTATTAGAATGTTTCTTGCTATGACAAGATCATCACTAAAGATTTTCATCTTTTAAGTGATTTTCTTGAGTGGGTTACTTAAATTAAGTATTCCCGAAATAATAGAAAAATGTTAGAAATATCGGTAGAAGATAATTTATCATGCTCTAAAATCTATGTATATACTTAAACTTGTTAATTATCAGTGTGTGCAATATAATTACGTTAAATATTTACTGTTAAAGGGGAACATTCTTCAATTTACATTTGACAATTTCTCTCCTTGCATACCCCTCGACTTTCCCCTCCTATACCAAAAATGTTAACACGCCTGAAGGTAATTGTAAATATGTATACATTAAGAATGTTCCCTTTGCATGGAACAAAAAGTAAGGCAAAAGAAGAAGAAAACTTTGCATTCTACAACTCACACGAATGTGCGATTAATGAATTATTAAAATATTTTAAAATAAAAAAAGGAAAGCGTGCAAGAAAATTATAATTTTTAAAAATGTGAATCTTTATCCGCCTTTGTTGAGGAAATTTCATTTTTGTGTGTTTTTTTTTACTTTTGTATTTTTGCAATACCTAAATATGATGCTATCCAAGTCAAACGGATATTCAATAATTCCTGTGGTTGGCGCACGAGCTCTTAGAATGTCTTGTTCCGTTGGCAGGTAGTCCGATTCTTCAATGCGCTTCAAATCGCTGAGATAACTTTAATGTGTTGCAGATATTTAATTAGAGTGAATTGTTTAAAAAGCAAAACTAAAAATTTCTTTAATTTAATGCGTCTATATGTATGTTTGTGTAGGTGAATGTGGTGTAGGTACAACTAGGAAAGAAACAGAGAGTGAACTGCTTACATAGCTCCATCATCGCCAACGTCATCTCTTGAGGGCTGGGAATTCCCTTGAGTCTTTTCGACGACAATTACAAAACGACCCTCAATTAAATTATTATCATGCAATGAAATGCTTAACAAGTTAAAGACAAAGTCGTTCGACTTTTGTGTGAAACTTGAAAGCAATTAGTCAAAAATCAAAGACAATCAAAGCGAAATATTTAAAAGTTAGTGAAAAATGCAAATAAAAAGTAGCAAAGAGAAAGAAAGAAATAAAAACAAGTCTCATGACTTGAAAGTTGATCGATCTGTACCTAAACCGAATTTCTTCCAAATCGAATGGATATTCAATGATGCCCGTTGTCGGAACACGAACGCGAAGGATGTCTTGCTCTGTTGGCAGATAGTTTATGGCCGCAACACGATCAATCTCCATTAAATAGCTGTTCATTAAGGAATTTTTAAAAGAGTTTATTGGAATGGAATATTATTAGCATTTGGTCATTTTTTTATTGTTGGTGATTGATTTGATTGTTGAAAAAGGGAATAACGAAGTTGATTGGGATTGTGATGAGAGAAAGAGAGAAGGGGACAGAGATAGAAGTGTTTTTGATGAAAATTAACGGATTTGACATAATTTAATGTCACTCGATGCCAGTCATACTCACTATTTGGCTGAATCTGTTAATTGATACTCTCTTCTACGATCGTAACACTCTGAGATGCCGGCATCTGCCCAGAGCTCTTTAATTGCATTCACGTACGGCTCTTCGAATGTCGTCACTGTTTCAAAGTCCACACTCTTTATCAGCTTGGCGTTCTCCTAAAATATTAATTAATTTGATTGTTTGCCTTATTAAATGTTAGCAAAGAACTCACCGAGTTTCTTGAATCACTATATTGAATTTTTAACAGATCCATTGCACGAATCATCGATTGCATTGCCATAAAAATATTTTGGTACACCAATTTGATAAAGCCACGTTTGTCTTCATCTGAATAGCCACTTCCGTGGATGATGCGCATCTGTTTGATGAATGTTGACTTTCCCGACTCACCAGTTCCTGTGGGAGAAAAGTTTTCATTCAGTGTCAAAAATGTTTTCAATTCATGATTAAACTGTTTGCTTTGAGTCGCTTAAATAAACGACATGGTGATGATAAGAGTCAGCCACGTGATTATATAAAAGCGCTTAATAGACATCTAAGCAAATCACTTGAGGGAATAAATAAATAATCGCGTGCTGATATTTCACGGTCAAGTCGAAAGTCCATTCATGTTGTAACAACTTCCCCCTGATATTTCGTTACGTTGCACAATATTCTCTTCGTCTTTTGGGATAATTTTTTATTTATTATGGTGAGCTTTTAGAAAATATTTCAGTATCGCATCACGTGAAAGTTTTAAGGGTAAAAAATCACTCTTTAGAAGTTTTAATAAATGTTGAATGAAGAAGATTTATTTATTGCAGCAGTCACGTTTGTCTCTTTAATTACTGTGGTGCTAATAATAACAAACATTTTACACGATAATTAAGAAGATTTAATCATTTTCATAAACATTTCAAGAGAATGCATAAGAAATTAGATTCAAGTTAAGCTTCGACCGTCTTTCAATTGTCGTTACTGCCCACTTCAATACATAAGAAGTTGGAAATTCAAAGATTAAGAAAAGGAAAAAGGAACTTGAACAGCATATCCTAACATACATATCCAGAGAGCATTTATTGATTATTATTCCACTTTTTTTCCCATTGGACTTTAGCTCGTCTCATACCACTGCTTTCAAGACAGTGTAAAAAGCAGAATAAGGAGAAGGGAGGGGGGACAGAAAAAAGTTTGTGCTTCGATCAGTGAGCAGAACGAAAAAGTTTTCATTATGAACGGCAATAGGCAAAAGTTGAATGAGAAACTATTGTTTTCTCCCCGTTTTCTCTACAACACCAAATGTTCAACATGCTCCGGAAAAACATGTTTTGTGCTTTAAAATTCTCATTTCGTAACCCGGAAGTTTTTTTTTCCTTTTTTTTCATCCTCATTCGATATAGGAGTGAGAGAGAGCGAGAGAGAGAGTGAAAGAAAGGGAGAGAGAGAAAAGGAGCTCAATGAATTTGCTTTTTTCTTTCTATGCGTGCTTTCATTCAACAAAAAAAGGAAAAAAAAGAGAATACGAAAAGAAAAGCAGCATGAAGCCTCACAAGATTTTCCATTCACATCTTTCTTTTCCTCCCGTCACACTATCGCCTTCGATGGCGCTTTTTGTCTGTGGTCGAGGAGCATAAAAGTCTCATTCGCACGCATACTCGGAGCACCCGCAAAAAGGAAAACGAGGAAAAAAAGAAAGTAATGAGGAAATTCATTCATATCATATTTGCAAGGAATGCTTTCTCTTGTTAGTCATTCAATTTAAAATTGAATTAAATATTTACACTCTTGATGAATGGAATTTGTATTTTTTCCTTCTCTCTTTCAAAAGGTTTCTTCATCAATGAAAATGCATGAATGATTCGCTTTTCGTGACGAATGCATCGAATTTTTCATTAAATATTCACTACGTTACGTTATTCTTTCGTTTTACACAATCAACAAAAGAGAATGAAAAGGAGAAAAGAAATACTTTCACCACCCACGCAAAATATTACGATCAACGTCACTCTGTTGATGCGTCATCACATCAAAATGCATTTTCATTAGGATAATAAATTTATCATGTTTTCTCGCTCTTTCATTCATTAGTTTTACGAAGCTTAAAAAAACAACTTTTTGTCATTTACGATGCAGATCACGAGCCACACCACACCACCCACTGGAACGGGTGTGGATTTATTTATTTTTTCTTTCTTTTTCCCTTCATTTGTCTTTTCACTGCTCATTCTTTGATGTGAAGTGCAATCGCGAGGCTTAAGTCTGTCTTCATTCTCCACGACGATGCATGAATGCGTTTGTTTTGCCAAGTCAAATCACTCGTAAAAAAGGAAGAAGAAAGAAAAAAAATTCCCTCAGATGAGATTCAAAACTGAAACAACCATTTTTGTAATGATCACAATGCGCATGTGCGTCTGAAAAATGTTGGATGATTTTTTTCTTTCTACCATCTACCCATCTTCAAATAAACTTTTTTTTCCTTGTAGTTTTCGACTCTGAATTGAATCTGCAGTTTGTTTTTTAAAAAAACTCAGAAAACAATTTTTCATTTCAGGAATGTCAAAGGAAAAATAAGAAAATTAATAAATTTTCCCAATTGGTCATGGACAGACAACAGACGATTTTATGAATCCCAAAAATTAATGAAAGCCGGCTGTGGAAGGCTTCATTGTCTTATTTCTGTCAATTAAATCGCAGCCTATCGATTTCTTTGAATAATATTCAAGGTAACTTCATCACCTGATACTTATTTATGTTCCACCGGTAACAACACAACAGTTCACAATAACAAGCGAGTGTAAATAGATGATTAACGCTGCTTAGTACGCTTCCACATCTTCTTCATAAAATTTTATTTATTTCTTCTTACACGCTACTTTTTTTTATCATCATGGCTCAACAAAAGTGTATTGTCCAACGCTGCTTAAATATTCTACCATGCGAATGATTGATCTATTGATTTAAAGATTTGTAAAGGAAATCTAAGGCCAATAGTTCACCCGTGAGAGTTCACGTGAAGGCATCATCATAATGATTCAATCTTACGACCGGTTTCGAGGACAATTTTCTCATGTAATCATTTTATTACTTCGAGGAATCGAAATACAAAAGAAATCAACTCTAATCAAGTTTAAGACGCTCACAATTGTGCATAGAATTTAATTTAATTTTATTTAGGCTTCGTTGAATGAAATAAAAGGAAGGAAATTGTGAAATTTTGGAAGCGATTCGATTCGTTATTTAAGAACGAAGAAAGAAAGAAAAATCTTCATTATTGCACATCGCGAAAATGTAGAAAAAGATTCAATAACAGGTTTTGTTGAAAGAGAGAAAGATTCAAATGCTAATTGATCGTCTCAAGCTCGTTAAGTGACTCCAAAGCAAACGATTTATGAAAAGGAAAAAATCGAACGATACTCACCCAGCAACAACAGCTTCAGCTCACGTCTGGCATCGCGCTTATCGCGTCGCAGTTGACGTTCAATTTCTTGGTTGATGCGCTTCTGCTCCTTTGCTTCTTCTGATAAACAGCACTCCATGCTTAATTCCTTTTTTATTTACTTATTTCTTATGTTTTTTTTTCTTTTGTAAATTTGTTAAAGTATTTTTTTACACTTTGCTTTGCACTTGAAGAAAACAATTCGTTTGTTACTCTCCAAAAAAGAATTGCAGTCAACAGAAGGTGCAACTTCTCGTAACTTCTATGTTTTGTATCAAAAAGCAATTTGAACACTTATCACTAGTTATCGGGAGACGAGAGATAATTTTCCTACTCGTTTGTCTTTATTTATGTCACTTTTGACTACCGTTTGTTAGTTAAACTTACAACAGAAGATACACTCATATATGACGATGGTCAAACACTTGGCTTTGTCTGTTTTGACAATCCGACCGACACACATGAAAACGAACACAAGAGTTGTGGAAATTTATTTTTCTTTTTATCTTATCGTTTCGTGAATGAAACTCAGGATATTTTTGAACATTTGAATGGAATTCGAAACTTTTCCTTCCCTTTCACCGTTTTAATTCTTTTCTTTTTTTTTGTTTTACTTTCTTCACTAGATTGATGTTGGAAAATTAATTTCTTTTCCTTTCTTTCCTCCTTTCACAAACAAATTAAGGAAAAAAATTAATAACTGAAAACTTTTCTTTGTCGGCTTTTCGTTGTTTTTCACTGGAATCTTCACACGGCCAATGAATCTCCAATAAACTTTTTTTTTCTCCTCTTGATGTTGTTGTTGCTTTGTGAACGTTGAAAAACCGGGTGAAATCAACTGCGAGAAAATCCAAACTAAAAAACGCCACCAAAAACACAAAAAATCTTTCGCTTCTTGTTTAATCTGAAACGGCAGAGATGAGAAAAGAAGAAGAAAATAAGAAATCAGAAATTTAAAAACATTTGTTGTGAGTCAGAGAAAGAAATGAGTTTTTACAGAGATTTTTTAATGTTTTAAATGAAACATGTTGAGCGATTTTCCTAAACCCTTTTACTCTGATGACCGCTGACTAACAACTAATAAATAAGTCACAAAGAAAACAAACATTTAATAGCTTTTTTCCCTTAAGACTGTGCGGGGGCTTTCAAATGATAAAAAAACATGGTTTTTCCTAAAACTACAACAATGAATGTATGTTGTGGAATAAGAAGAAACAATAGCAAAGCGCGAGTTCTTTGTGAGTCAATTGTTTCATAAATTTCATATCTATCACTAATGTTATTCATCAACATCAAAAAATCAAAAAATGTCCCAACTTCATCTTTATCCTTTATAATTTCATTAATTTCTCTCGATGCACTGTCCAAATTGTTTTTTAAATTTATCCTCCAGTTTATAATAACATCGTCGGTACAATAAATAATAACAACAAAAACGTCAGCACTCTGAGCACACGGAAAAATGTAGTTTTCCACAAAGTAGGATTGCTGTGCCGCTTCGAAAAAGAAAACATTGTTGTTGGAGAATTCTTTTTTTACATTGCTGGTCGGCTTCACTCATATGTGTGAGTGTGTATGCGTACCGTTTTTGGATGTGCATGTGAATGGACTTTTGCACATTTTTTTTTCTTCTTTCAAGTGAATTTAATATTTTTAGTGATTGCAAAATATTCTCTAAGAAATCAATGCCACTCGCAATCATTTTTTCTTCTGTTTACAGGATTTTCCTTTAGAATTGAATCGTTGAACCCACAAAATTTTCAACAGAATTCAAGCGAAAGATCAAACCGCGAATTCATTATCAGCGGAAAAAGCTTTTGCAAATTTTATGATACGAACTTAGTTTAAACTTTTTTTTTCTTCATGAATTGAAATTACGATATTTCCATTGATTGAACATACACTCGATTTAAATACAATTGTCCATTTGTGATATGACGATTCGTCGGACGCTCACATTCAACTCGATGAAAAATGAAGGAAAATTGTTTTTCATCGGTCGATCAATCGCAAGAAAAATTTTATATTTAATAGCACTAGCCGTCCATTAGATGAAGTGAAAAGTGTCTTAACACAATGTTGTGTTTTCACATTTCACAATCCGCATCATATTTGCTGTATCAGTGATGTTTTTTTCGATGAAAATTGCGATGGAAAATTTTTTCAAAGGGGCGAGGCTGGTTAGGAAAATCGCTTGGAACATTTTTTTGCACCAACTTTATGAAGCATCGAAAATTTTTTGTAAAAATCTCATTTCACTTGTCCAAATCATTCACCTTAATTATCTGCAAAACGCACTTCTTTGTGATAGTACACGAAATGGCTCGAGCCCATCCATAGGCTCTCGAACTACGCTGATGTCCACCGATTCTTACATTAAAAAAAAACTTTTGATTCTCCGAGAATTATCTTTTCGCACTGAACACACTTTCGAAGATGTTCGAATACACTAAAGCGTTGACTCATTTTTCATTTGAATTTTGTACTAGATTATTTTCGACCGTTATTTTTATGCAAGAAATATTTTGATTTCAATGTTGATCTATTTAACAACTTTATTAAATAAATTGAGTGTTTTCTTTTATTCAATATGACATAAACCAATGTATAACAACATTAAACATAAATATTAAATATTATAAACACACAAAGTAAATATTTTTAATTCAATCTTTGCGAATGATTTTGCTTCTAATCCTATTTGTTATTGCGGAAATAAGCTTCACGTAACGAAGCAACATTCTTGATTTAATGAACGAAGCCAACATAAGCATGTGCAAAATTATTTGCTGTTAATGTTTATTTCTGTCCTTATTTATAATGTAAAAGAAAATTTGTTTTAAAGCGTATTCACTGTTTATTATAGATAGTTTGTTTTAAAGCATTCCATGATTTAAACCAAAATGTATTTAAAAAGTTCGATTCTGCAGGTTGTTGTGAAGAGAATGTTTGGGACATTTTTCAAATTCCATGAAAATTTTATGATAATAATTCAAATAGAATAGCTTGTTTAAATTTGCATACGTAGATACCAACAACATGTTCAATATATTCACTTGCAAAATTCTTTAAAACAACAATGCAATTTATGTATCCAAGTATCATAATATCAGAAGTATGTGCAAAAAGTCAAATATCATTTATTGGTACAAAGTTTAAAAGGCATCTGATTCCTCATTAGTTTGTTGACTGAAATTTTCAATCTGAAATGTATAGAAATGTCATAAGAAAAAGTTTTGAATGCCATGATTATTGAAAATCAAAGCAGACTTAACTTAATTTCAGAACTTCTATATCTTCTAAAAGCAAACCAATGCAACATTCAAGTATGTTTCCACCAGACAAATATACTTGAAGCCTTATTTAAACATTTTAATGAATCTCTACATTTGTTTGTTTCATTCAACAAACTTTGTATCAATTTACTTATTCATTTGAAATTTTAGCTTTCAGATTTTCTTAAAGATAGTTAAAGAGTTGATTTTGCAAGTCAGCAAGACCTTCTTTTGGTTGCTTTATCCTTGAACTTTTTCGACATATTTTACAATCTTCAAGTGATGTTCAAACAATTCTCATACTATTGAAAACCGGACATCTAAAGCGATTACTTCCACACGAGGGTAGAAAAATAAACTAGCAATAATCATGCTATTTAAGGCCAAAAACGAAGTTCCGAGATATTTCCCAAGGACTTACTAGCCACAGTGAATCGCATCAACTTTTTTTCCTGCGGAATTTCCGTTCAACCCTGCATCAAGATTGAAAACAGAAAGCGTCAGCAGAATGAAAGGCATAGAAATGATTCATCACTTAATTTCATGTACTTACGAAAAGGTTCAGCCCGCGAAGATAAAGAAAACAAGCATTAAAAAAAGGAACAGTAACGATCATTTACAATACAACAACATAAGAAGTGAGCTTGTTTCGGTTTATGATAATCTTCTTTGGCATAATTTTCAATCAAATGGAGATTGATGGCGTGACTTTTTTCGTTCCGATGTATAAAAGTCAACTCGATAACGGTAAGGGAAGAAGAAAATGTATTTGAACGATAAGGCATGAACATATAAAATTGAATTAAATTTAATCCTTTCTCAAACCTTATTTCACAAACGACAAATTTTTAATAAAGAGCAGAAAAAAGAAATCAGAAGTCAGGTAGGTAAGCAGCCAATGTCAAATGTCAACTCTATAAAAATGCAATATTTTCAGAAAATTACCAATTTAATTTTGAAGGTATTGTAGACGACGCTCAGACTTCTTCTTGTTGACTTTCTCACTCAAAGACTTCGCTAGAATACTAATTTCTTCTGCTTCACAGCTTCGAACTTTTCAGAGAGAAAGAAATGTTTCATATTTGAAAAAGTAAAGAAGAATCTTTTTAGCTACGTCGATCTTGTTTGAAGAAGAAAAAAAAGAAAGAATCATGAGCAGTTAGTCTCGTTTTTGAATTATGATTAGAAGCTTGATAGGAAGTCGTTTGATAAAATTATCAACGTATTAAAGTCATTTTGTATCAAGCTCTTTACAGTTTACCGTGCAACCGTGACGAGACTTTGAGTGAACATGAGAAAAGCCATTGTTTGAAATGGAGAAATCAACAACAGTTGCCTGTAATTTTATTTTTGATGTTACTAATGCGTGACATGTTCTACAAAGTCTGTTACAGATTCATAAGCATGCGACAAACCTTAAGGGATGGAAATATTAAACAGCCTTCGTCATGTTGTGAGCGATAAAAATAACAGAAGAAAGACACGAAAAAATGAAAGAGCAAAAGCTTATGGTGTCAATTTAGTTTGAATGTCGAATATTAACTGAATATGATAAGGCAAAATTAGTTTTTTTTTCTGGTGTGTTCACCAGCAGCAGATGAGTTTAACGCGATACGCGATAAGCTTCCTATATCGTTCGATAACTCATTTTCATTCTTTTCATTCAAGAATCAAGGTCGATCACAAATGAATAAAATGATTGTATTTCATAATAATGCTCGATACACAAAAGGAAACAAAAAAATGAATGATGAAGCGGAGGAAAGAAATATTTAATCAGATTTGTATATAAATATATGTAAATATGAAGCTCGATGAAAACAACCTCTCGATGTTCTCATGAATTTGATATCTACTTACAAATTTTCAATGCTCAAGAGATTCATAGAAATTTCATAAAATGCATTAAAAGCGCTCATGTGTAGCTAACAAAGTCCTTTTTTTGTAAGCTTTTGAATCTTTTTGATATTTTGATTGACACAAACACAAGTTTGAACAAGCCTCCATGATAAATTTTCATAAAAGTTTGTAATACAAAAGGAATGAATATGATTTAAATGTGCTTAACCACATTCAAGCAACCTCAGATTCCTACCCTAGAAAACTTTTACCCAGATATTTAAGTCTACAACATTTTATTTATGCCTGATATGTTTTTTAACACGTTTCGAATGATTATCAAAAAAAGAAGAAGTGAAATGAAATTAAAACTTTTTTTATAACAGACGATAAAAATTCTTTTTGTTAGAATGTTTCTCAGTTGGAAGAACAAATTTGTTGCAACAAAGTTTTAACAGGAAATAAGTAGGATGCTTGAAATAAATTCATTATAAGTGAGCAATTAATAATTCTGTTGTCTCTAATGTCGCTTAGTTACACACATTTGAAAGTTTTTCCTTGTAATACTTTAAATTGGATTTTCATTGGAATTCTTTCCAAAATAGAATCGCATTAATTAAAAATCTAATTAACTTTGTCTTGTCGAAGTAGGTAATGAATAATAAAAAATAACCTTTGAAATTTTTAAAATTTCCAATGATTCGACATGAGTTATTGAAGGATGAAAATATATAAAAAAGTTTCTTTTACGTTTTATGTCAAACCTACGTACTTATGAAAATTTATTCACATTTTTTTATTTCCAAATAAAAGCCCATGGGACTCTAAATTGATGTCTTCATGAACCATAACAATAATTTAAGTCGATAACGCGAAACCAAACCTTAAAATGTGTCAATAAATTTCAAGAACATTTCATCGTGAAAAAAAATCATTGAAAAGATTGAAACTTTTTCGTGGAAAGTTGGATGTCATGCTCGTAGCTACCAATTTCCTGTAATCATTTCTAAGGAAAATTTTTTGCCGGAAAATTCACAGAATCTTCTCAAAAATATTTGAAATTTTAAACAAAATATTTCGGATAATTTTGTTTTAATAAATTCCATAAAGAGACATTCGAAGCTGTTATTCAAAAAATTGAATAAATGTTTTAAAAAGGGAAAAGTATAAAAAAATCCCATCAAGTCAGTCGAATTTTACTGAAAAGAAAATATCCAAGAAGAAAATCGATGAATTTGATGATTTGAATTTTTATTCTTAAGAAATTTGGAGCTCGCTTTACATATATTTTACATTAAACTTCTTAATATCAGTGCTTTGCTATGCGACAAAAATGAAATCGAATTAATGGAAATGTGAAAGTCAATGGGAGTTAATGTCGTGAAAATTCAATTACATTCATTCATCGCTTACCGAACATTGGAAACAATTGTAAATTCTCTTTTTACATCGAATGGATTTTACTAAATAAGGAAACCAAATCAATTTATCAGACGATCAAAAACATATTGTGAGTTTTGGTGAAATAAACTGACACTGAAAGCTGAATGTTTATCTTTGAAAGCTGTCCAACTTTTATTGCTTTCTAACAGACATTATTGTGCACTTAATGGAAATATACTTATCGCTCTCAAGCCACACTGAAAAGTTGTTTATGAATAGTTTAGACTGTGAAATCTTCATAGGGAATTATACGCTAAATAAAGCTTGATATCTTTCTTGATATTATTCTCTTCAAAATAGATATTGTCAGTAGCAAAGGCGATGTCAGTTCAGAAAGAAGAAAATTATAGAATGGCGCCACAACATATCACATAAATTGGATAGGAAGATTCGTTTAATTTCGTGTCTAAATCAAAAGTTTCTTGAACTCATCAATGTCAATTTCCTAAATGTTTCATTCATCAAATCAATAAAAATATTCGAAATGATAAAGTTCGTGCCCTTACCTAATTACCATTATAGAATTAAATCTTTAATCAATCGAGGGATTATGTTAATGAAAGCTATCCCATTTCATTATTTGTCAAAGGAAAAGTTTTAATTAAATTATTATTTATTACTTTTATCTGATACAATTTTGATTGAATTGATGAGGTGGACCGAAATTATTAATCACATAAATGTTTTGCATAAATACTCAGCTAGGTCAATAAAGGACATCATAAACATAAATTATGCTGCCAACATAAATCATCACTTATTTATGTATTTATGTATCGATAGCAAATTTTATGCTTCATTATTGTGTGCATTTGTAGCACGTTTATCATGATGAGACACAAAAAAGAAACTAAGAAATGGTTGCCGTTAGAAATGATATTCACTCAACTAGCTTTTTATATCTCGTCACCATAAAGGATGAATGACACTTAGGAATAGCTGTCACGGCTTATTAATGATATTGTAATAATTAATGACACAATCCACAACAACAAAATGAATTTGTAAGCAAAAACTTTGTACTCATCAAATTAGGTTCCATGTGGTAAAGCAAAATATTTTGAATGAATTTCATTGAATCGACGAAAGCCTCTTTCCACATGAAAGATCACATAAATTCCAAACAGAGCTTAAAGCAGGGCTCTCGTTTATATTTCTTTTTTTGTTTCTGAGTAGAAGAATATAAAACATTTAGCGAAGAAAGAATTTATGTTCCAAAGCTTTCTTACTGCAACATAAATAGCCTTTCATCTAATAAAACAATGGTCAGTTTATTGTTGTTTATTATTTGCTTGCTTATAGGCTGTTGCTATTCCATACGATGCTTTCGCATTTAAGTATATGAACTGCCTTTCGGCTCCATTTTCAAAGATGTCTTTATTTACACTTAAAATGATATAAAAAATTTATTAATGTTGAGAATTTCAGCTTTTGTTGCAATTCAATGGAAAGCATCTAAATGGCAGCAGGAAAAAAAGAGCAGAAGACAATAAAAGTATTTTTGAAATGGATCCCTGAGCTGGTTTTAATTAACTGAATAATTTAGTTCTATTTGCAACAACTTTTTGTTGTTTTCAACTTTAAGCTTTGCGGTTTAAAACGAATCGTTACATGGTTCCAGTAAATGCACAACTTTATAAAGCTTTTGTTTATAAACTGATTTTCAAATTTATTCTGTTTCTCTTCATTATGCAAATAAGAACAATATTCAAATTTATTTTGTTAATATTTTTGCTTTCAAGCTTTCCATTGATAATTTTTAATTTCTGATAATTGAACTTTAAAGTTGTCATAAATTTTCTTAGCTGAATCAGGCACATCTGTTCTCATTGTTCGGAACGCAAATGGATGTTGAGTGTTGTCAAAAGCGATGCAAATGTCAACCAAATGATCAAACATGGCATAGAATTCCATCGTTCTTCCGAAATTTTCGTCATGACAGTTTTTCAGCTCTTCATTTTGTGATGCAATTACTTTTGACAAAGAACTTCTCACATTTTTCATTTCTGGCCCAACATTTCTCCATTTGCCTTGAATATTTTCAAACATCTCAACAATCCGTCCTTGAATGTCCTCCGCACTGACAAAAACATTCTTCCCAATAAAAGATTTTCCGACAATCATCAAGATTTGATTGAATGAATCATCGAAATCAACAATAGCTGTGTTTGCTTTCGCAACTTCATCTTGAACCCGACTGTTGTAAGATTGTGCACAATTACTTGCTTCGAATCCGGTGAATATTGCCGTTAAATTCAATTGTGATTTAGCCATATTTCTACATTCACTCTCCCTTAATTCCTGAAACTTTTGAAGCACCGGAGCATAAGCTTTCAAAACTTCATCTACATGATCTTCATATTGTTGAAGAGTTTCGCCCGTACTTTCCCTTAATACCGATGAAACGGCAACTAAGGTTTCATAAGTCTCCAAAGCGACTTCCTTTTGAAATTCTTCAGCTTTTGATTGATATTCGTAGGCCGTTTCAAAAACAAATCCAGGATGAATCAATCTCCCTTCACGCTTAGGATTTTCTTCATCTTCAGCCTAAAGGAAAATTAAAATGAAAAGTTTTTCTTCCTTAAATGTTGAATCCTTGTTGTTATTATCATCTTATTTACCAAACACAATGCTGACAAGGTCAATAAAGTAAATATTGTAAGTTTCATATTTTCAAAAGACTTTAATCAATGAAATTGTAAATTGGAAATGATATCAGTGATGAGAAAACTTTTTCCTTTTATACTTTCAGCTCTTAATACAATTTTTCTATCTACGAAACCATCACAAATGATAAGATAACGTAATGACACTGTCGACAAGTAGAAATTTAGAGCAAGTCAAAGATAAGAGAGAAAGAAAAAAAAGTTCCCCTGCTAACTTTGTGTTAATGCCCCAGCCGTTGGCGTCTTTATCATCTTCCGGAAATCTTAACTTATCTAGCATAATTGATTTCGCGTAACCCTAATCATTATTATAATACATTTGGAGTTTTAGTTTTCGCCTTTCCCGAAAACGAGGACACTCATCCCGTTCAATTAACGTTTAATATTTCCCTGAAATTCTACGACACTTCTGATTACTGCTTCGAAAGGCATTTTCGCATTCAGGCACATTCCCACATGTCGTAATGAACAGACATTCTATTCTGGAAAATAATCCGTGACCCTTTCTTGAAGCATCATAAAGTCTTGTTCGCGTAGTAATGCCATGGAGTGAGAGTAAGTATTGTGACTTTTACGACCTCGTAAAGACGATATGTTGTAGGCAGTTTGCTTCAATAATTGAGATATAATTTCTCATTAAGCTTTGACTCATCAAATGATGTCGACTTGAATGGTGATCTATCTTCACATCAAATATTATCGTCAATGTTCTGCTCTTGCACATTTGTTACGTCATCGAAAATCAAGTGACATTTAATATTGTAAAGCTTTCACTTCAACTAAATATATTCTGAAAACCAAATTTAACTTCGCTTTGTATAATTTCATTGGTGCTTGTCATCATTAAAGAAGATTTTTCCATTCGAACTTTCCAGATTTTCCATTCGAAATCATTTTCTTCAAACAATTCCACAAAATATCTTCTTTCAGTTTAACTTTCATTCTTTATCTCAACGGACGTGAAATTCATTTCAACTTTGTCGGTTTCTTTCTATGGATTATAAAACAACAAGAAGAATTATGTGCGGATTGTTTTTTGATGCGACATTAGGTCAAGGATTACAATAAATCATTAACGTGCAAGCAAACCATTTCTTGCAATCAACGTCTTGAATTTGTAAAAAAAGGAGAGATTTATAAGTGAAGAACGTTTCTATTATAAAAGCATGGTAAAACCATCCTTAACAGCATCTGTTACATAATTCCTTACCACGGAAATTGCTGCTTTTTATACTGATTAGACAGTGATATGTGATGTGTTTATTGACTTCCAATTCAGCAATTCCTAGATTGGATTAATTACAGCCGTGTTATAACATCACAATGGATACGTGATGAGTGAGATTAATTGATGTGTGGAAATTTCCATTAGATGAACACAAATTAAAGTAAAATAATATAAATAATTTATTTCCATTTGTCAAGAAAAGAAAAGAGAAAGATTCGGTTGAAAAGTCAAAAGGTTGAAAAGTTAAGAAGTTAAAAGTGAAAAGAAAACATTTAAAAAGTTAGCCTGGGAGAAAGTTGGTGAAATGAAATCATAATAGAAGAATATCTTAAAAATTGAACATTTATCCCGTGAACATCATTAAGGGATAGATTGATAGATATCTACATGAATTATGCGGCTAACAACTAACAATCTTTGCAACAAAATCACATTAAATACAATCAAATGTATTCTTCAATGTTGGATTGTGCTTTTGATTGCCGGCTGTCCTTCTCATAACAACGGTAATCAAATTGGATGATAAATAAGAATAAATTAATATAAATTAATGTCATGAAATTTAAAATAATAATGTAAATGAGATTGAGGTCGTCAAAAGCTTAGAACAAGAGATATGAAGTAATAAAAATGGAAAATTGTTTGAAATGATAGAAATTAAGCTGTTTCTGTCACTTTTAATTTTACTGTAATCTCAGCTAAATTTTCCGCAATGTTAGCTTTTCCAACTTCGAAAACATTTCATGCACATAAATACTTAAGTACCTTCATTTAACCATCATAGTTAGGACGACGAGGAAGAGCAAACAGCAATTTCTTATCATTGTTAAGCGAAACGTGATTTTTATTGCATCAAATGATAAAGCAAAAAACAAGAGAATAAACTTTCCGTCAAAGTTTGTTTTTCCACTCATCTCATTATATAAAATGTGAACGATTTCTTTTTAATCCCCTTCGCTTCCGCCTTAACAAATTTAAACCTTGATTCCTTGGCTCTCACATTCTTCTTGCTTCTCTTTTTTTGTTGCTGTTGTCATGTTGTGATCAGAATATCATTGGAGACTTTAACGAAGAAAAGACGGCAGGTTTTGAGTTGCCACAGCTACGTATGCTGCTTTTTCTGTTCCGCGTTTTAGACACTCCACGGAATGCAATGAAAAAAAACGAAGAAAGAAGAAAAAAAAAACTTTTTATTAACGAACTAACTTAATCCAACTACAATAAAAGAAACTTCAAGTTTATGTTTCGAGAAAAAGCTCAAAAGTTTCTTGCGCCTTTAAATAATTCTTTCACTAAAAGTTTTATTGACATATTTGACGAAAGTTTGAATTAACATTTGATGATACTTGAATTAAACATTACTGAATCAGAGTTTTCCGCTTTCTGGAGAAAAATGTTTCATGATTGGCCCTTGTTCTGTTAATTAGATTTTCTCCCTAAATTTCCACTTCCTACATTAAGAGTAGCGATCCCGAACATCGGTTGATGAAAGAAATAAATAAGCTCTTGTTATTTAGTATGTCTGAATAGCTTAAATTGCTTCATCAATTCATTAGTCTCTTGAACTCCTGAATCGAGTATGTATGTTAAGGAAAAGGGAAACTAAACCATTTTCGTTGTCCATTTCAATCTTAATGACTCATTAAGGTGATTGAAAAAGTATTTAAAAACCCCCGTAAATTTCATTCAATCCTTTTTTAATTATTTTTCGCTTTCTTTGAAAAGACTTATTAAAAAATAAATGTTACACAATGAAGACGAGGATTAAATCTTTATGGATGAAAAATATCGAAGATAATCTTTACAATGAAGAAATAATGATGTTCGGATAAATTTTTCATCAAAATAAGATTTGTTTCATGAAAGAACCCCGAAAGGTCGAAGAACAATGACCGTACATTTCAAATTGTGTCACAAGTACATCGAGTGGATCTATCAGATCACACTTAAAACAATTTATCTTTAACCTTTTTGCCCAACCCGCAAATTTATGAAATATTGCTAGGAGAGTAATAAGCGGAATAAAGCCGAGGAAAATTATCAAAAGAAGCACCTTGTCTACCTTTCAATTCACGACCACTAGGGCTAAAGGCCATCAAACCAAAATAACGAAATGGTTAAAAGTTCACAAGTTGATTTATTAAGAAATGTCCGAGAAACATTCGTCTTCCTAAAAAAGAAGCTGTAAAGTGAAAAATGAGATAAGTTTCAGCGCCAAACCTTTTAAAATGTATTGAGTTTTTTTAAGGAAGGAAAGATTGGTGTGAAAGAAGAATTGAACGTGAGAGCTTAATGGAATTAAGAACGTGTAGGAGAAGGTTTTAGGTCCGAAGAATTTTCGTCTTGCCTACCCAGCAAGAAAAAAAAGGCCCACAAACCTCTTGGCTTTTTGGCCAAAGTATTAATTGACAAAAAAAGAAAAATAAAATGAAATAAAAGATTTAAAATAATGAAAATAGCTGTGGGGTAGTTTTTGATGTTTTGCATGGAAGAAAAACACAAAAAAAATCTCATTTTGTGGTGAAAAGTTGGAAAATTTTACTGAACATTTATAACAAGAAATCTGAAAAGCAACCGCTTCGGTGAAGCTTAGAAAAACCATGGAAACCTTTAATAGGCTGACATTATTTTATGAAGGCATCCTTCGAATTGATTAATGGTTAAATTAAAACAAGCGCTTCATTAATTTCTTTCCGTTTTCTTCGCTTTATTTGCTTTATTTCGCGTCCTTTCATTGATAATGATTAGAACTGTAAAGATCCCAAAAACAGTTTAAAGAAGAGATTTGAACTGTGTTTGCTAACAAATTTCTGAGATGTTCTCTTTTTTTCCTCTTCCTTTTCTTTTCCTCCCTTCATTTTCATTAGAAGTTAAAGAAAGTTTAATTACACAAACATCAACCGATATCGAGATCTTCTTTCAAAACTTTTCGTTTTCCGAATTAAGAAGAAGAAAGAAAGAAAGTGATAAGAAAGTTAAATGATTTGCTTAGATAAATTTACATTAACGTCTTAAAATTTGATTAAGCTTCTTCAAACAATAAGCTTTGATCAGATGGGAAAATGAATAAATAAATATCCTTCTGAAATTTTCCAGTTATTTATTAGGAGGATGACACCCGAGGCTATTTTAACAACTTGCAAATCTCGGCTTCTCACAAACAGTCTTGCCTGAAATAAAATTAAACTGAGATGGGTTTTATTGGGTTTAATAATTTTCTGCTTGATGTGCTCCCTTACAAAAGAGTGAATGTAAAAGATTCTCCCAAATTTCAATTGTCTGCTCCAACAAGCTTACATTTTCCTCGAGAAAAGGGATCGAAATTAGTCCCAAAGAACATAAAAAAACGTCAATTCTCTAAAATTTGCATAAGATATTTGTCTCCATCCTTTCGTCATTCTTCACCCTCAAACTCTCAAACATACAAGCACGCACACAAAAACCTTACGTTATTTCAATTTCCAAGACGATTTATTTATCTACAGAAATCTTCAATCACTTTATTGAGATCTAATCACATTCGTTATCTCGTTTCAGGATTATCATCATTTTTAAACACAAAAAACGACGAAATGTTACGTAAGAATGAGTTTCTGCTGATGCCCCATGTCCCAAATCGAGATGATTATAGCAATAAATCGAACACATCATCAAACGTTCCCCCTGGCTATAATGAAACGAGCGAACCAAGTGATCTTAATCTAAACACACAAAATCATAATTTTCTCATGGAAAATCACAACAATCAAAACAACATCGTCATGATTAATGAGAATGATGAAAGTTATTTTGAAATATTTAAAACGCCGATGAAATTTGGCACTGACAACAACACAAAAGTGACAGCACAGATTGGCACAACTGCACATTTGCCTTGCACAATTCATAATATTGGAGAGGGTGTGGTGAGTGTTTGTTCTGCTTTTGCTTTTGGCATAAAAGCAGAAACCGTAAAAATATCAAAAACAGTTCCAAGAAATCAATTTCAGACACAAAACATTTTCAGGTTTCATGGATACGACGAAAAGATTATCATTTATTGACAGTTGGACTTACAACTTATAGCAGTGACGAACGATTCAGCGCTACTCATTTGAAAAACTCCGAAGTACGGTGAAAAGTTTTTCTCATTTCTGTTATATTTGTTTGCTTATGTTTCGAGCTAGTGTCAATTTAGGATTAACATTATAAATTGCCAACATCTTTTATTCTACACTTTCTCTCTCCCTTTTTTCCTATTTTATGATCCTAGGACTGGACACTCCAAATAAAGTATGTTCAAATGAGAGATGCCGGACAGTACGAATGTCAAGTAACAAAATATCCACCCACATCTATATTTTTAACGCTAAAAGTAATAGGTAAACATCAACATAGAATTAATTAAAAGCCAAGTAATTTTTCACTCGTAAAGCTTACCAAATAGTTTGCGGAGACAAAACATAAGAGTAAAAGTTTCTATAATGAATTAATTTAATTAAATTCTTCCATGAGATAAATTATACACGGTTTGTTAAACAAAGGATATCGTCATACAACTTTGACCCACTTGATGTAAGAAAAAAGGTGTCGCTTCACAAATATGTTCAAAGTGAACACAACTTTGCATGTCGCATGCATTCAAGCGAGTTTTTAATGAATAACATGCAAGTGGAATCTGTGAATTTCACACGAATGGCGTGGGTGAAAAAAAAAATGTTTCAAACTTTTTTTTTGATGTCATGTGCGAATGGCCAATTCAAAAATTCCAATTTTGCTGATGATCCTTTCATCCGATTTTATACGAACGGTTTGTTTAAGCATGGAAGTGGAAGGAGCCATGTTTATATTCATCTTTTCAACTGAATAAATAAAATTGACTTTAAAACATTTTTTATGAGTCAACAGTCGATTGAACAAGTTGACTAGATAATTAGTCTGAAATTTGTCTATCACGCAGAAATTGAAGATAATAAAATTAATCGTTTCAACGATTTCATCTTCTGATTCATAATTGAGTTCCTATCATGAAAGATATTCAAACTTTGACACCTTATTATTCAAAAATTTAAAAATATTTATTAAGCTTCGTTCCCATTAATTTATTACTTTTTTCTTATCTGAACAATTTCTTCCTAGTTTAAATAATGTAAATAATTTAGTCCGTAATTTCCTGACAAGTTAAAAAGAAATTGGCTTTATCGAACTGATAACAGATAAGACAAACAAAAGTTTTCCTATAAACGCGTAAACACGCAAATTGTTTCAATTTAAGTTCATGATTTATTTCACGAAGCAAAATGATTTAATATCTTGAATATTGATTAAACACTTAGCAACAATTTTCGAAGCCTATCTTTGTACATATTATTGGAAGAATTTTTTCCTTTACGTATTTAAAGGTCCCCATAAATTATTCTTCCAAACTTCCCTCCCTCAAAGATTTATCGGTTCTGTTAAAAAAGAAATTTCCAAGAAAAATGTTTCGATAAAAATTTAGCATAATTTTGAAAATATTTTAGCAATCTTAAAATGTGTAAAATTTGAAAATTAATAGAAAAGTTTTACAAGTGACTGAATAGTTTTATTAGTTTTCTGCTTGGAAATTGATGATGTAAAATTAATTCGATAAAAGGTTGACGGTAATAAGGAAATTCTTTAATATTAATTGAACTTCCTACTTGACGGTCTTTCAAGATTATCTGGGACGACAAAACAGAAAAAAAGGTTTTTGCGGAATTCTTCGTAAAACAATAAAATGTTGATAAAGATTCGCGTTTTGTTTTTGTTTCCTATCTAGAATGATATCAAGTTTTAATTATTAAGTATCTCGGTCAAGATATCATCGTTCACTGATAAGTTTGCAAACTTTTTTGTATAAAAGACAAGAGAAATTGAAACATTCACCAGTTCACAATCGTCTATCCTGATAAAACATTCTGAAGAAGCAATTAAATCCTTATCCTTAAAAAGTTTTCTTATTTAAATAAAACGACATTACGCAATTACATAGAAATGAAGTTCAGTTTCGGAATTTTGTTATCAGCAATTGCTGTGATCAACGCTGCAGTTATTGACATTGACAATTCAAATGCCGAAGATATTTTGAAGACATTTGTAACTTCACCAACTCCACTCTTCAATTCTGCACAAGATTATCACGAACAAGCTAAAGAATTACAAGACGACATCAACAAACATCTCGCAGACATACGAAGCACTTTGTCTTCAGTTTTGGCTGAGAAATCAAGAGAAGCTCTTGATGATATCCAACTAAATTCCAATGATATATTAGAATTGGAGAACTCAACACGTACCGCATTATTTGAACTTGATAGAAGTCTTTGTGTGGACAATTTAAGAGTATTACTCAATAAAATTTCGGAATTTACTGGATTTGGATCCAGCAATTGTGTAACAGCTTACGACATAAATATTCAAAAGGGACTTGGTTCAGCTTATGAAAAGATTCGATCATACGATGGAAGTTTCGGAGATGTTCAACAAATCGTTGTCCGTTCTTTTATTGGCGCAAATGCTTTTCTGGAACCTGAAGAAATTGAAGCACGCTTTGTTGGGGAACTTACCAGACAACGAGACGAATGGAATGCTGCAAGGCCAGAAATTGGAGACTTCATAAATTCATTTAATGTCGAAATGGAGGCTCACAGACTTGTCCTTGGAACATGCTTCAAAACCATTCAAGATAACGTCGCCCCAGGATATGATTCTCTTCAATCTGAAATCGCAACTTGCTTGGAATTCGACAATACTGACGATCCATTTGCAGCCTTCAGATAAATTAAATATTTATAAATTATTAAAATGTCTACTTGAAATTTGATATTTTTGAAAGCTTATTAAATATTCTATTCAAAAAGAAAATTCTTTGATAATAATTGAGAGTAAAATTAAAACATTCAAAATATTATGCTTTTCAAAGATAAATATTATTAAATTAGTTAACTTTTCTTCTTCTTCTTCTTTTATTTGTAACAATTATTGTTGTTGTTGTTGTTGTAGAGGCAAAAGCGGAAATTGTTGGACCGACAGTAAAATATCTTACTCCCGGATCTACCCTTAAACTCATTTGTAAAGTTTTACGAAGCACTGAAGCAACAGCGTACATTTTCTGGTACCACGATAATAGAATGATAAATTACGATCTCGACAGGGGCATAAATGTTTCGTCTGAAGCAGGTATTGTGTCTGATGAATAAAATAAGAAGAAAAGTTTAAAGAAGTTCTTTTAAATTCAATTCTCACAGACTCACATTACTCAGAGCTTACCATACTTCACACAACAAAAAACCATTCTGGGAATTACACGTGCGTTCCATCAAACTCTCAACCAGCTTCAGTGATTGTTCACATTTTCAAAGGTAAATCTAAAAGACTCAAGAGAAAAACAATCCACTGTTATGAGTTTCTACAACAAAAAAAATGTATAAAAAGAATGGAAAAAGAGGAAAAGTCTCATTTTTTCGATGTTTATTTTTCACTTGAAAAAGTTTGAAATTCATATGCTTATGTTACTCCTTACAACGAAGATAGGAAGTAATCAATTTTTCAGCATTATCATGAGATTGTAAATTTGAATTTAATCCCTCTTTTAATGATGAGACTGAATATCGTCTTACAACGGAATTGTTGTCATACTTAGCAAGGATCTTTTGATTTGTTTACATTCCTAAGACTTTATTATTTCAATTCTCTTGTCTATTCGGATATTTAACATTTACCAACATCCAACATTACCAAAAAATTGACTTTTATTGATTTTTCATTCTGAATTTACAATGTAAATTCAATGCATTTATTTATGAGTCGTTCTAGGATTATGTAAACAAGAAAGCGTGGAAATTGTTCGAGGCATAATACAAAATAAACATTTGTTCTCAAAGTATTCTTTGGCTCTTTATTTCCCAGGTGACGTTGCTGCAATGTATCACGAGCATCGTAGTGGAAGTTCTACAATGTTTCTTCTCAACAACAGAATTTTATCGCCACTCTTACTGACAGCAGGAATAAGTGTCATATTTATGCGAAAGTTTCTAATTGTTATGTAAAATTCACTTGTTTTGTATTTGTTACAATTGTTTTGAATATCTTTAATTAAGAGACAAAAACTAATTGTCGACTTTCGAATGAAATGTGTTTATTGAAATAAAATTAAAATTTGTTTCATAATTCTATCATCTTTTCAATCATCTTTCTGAAAGTTTGAAGATTAGATCAAATTAGAATCATCCCGAGAGAGTCGTAGCTCGATGGATATAAATTGTCCACAACGAAGCTTTTAGAAGTTTCAACTTTGAAAAGCCACTGACTGGAATTGCCACTTAAGTAATCTTCGTCAAAGTTCCTGGATGAAGTTTTTTGAAATTTTATGACTTTCAAGAGAAAAAGAAGACATGGCAATATAAAAGTAGAAACAAAATTTACAAGAAAATTGAGAAACATGCTGAATAGAAAAAATAAAATTTAAAACTTTGTGAAGAAACGAAGCTTCGTGTGCAATCTACGAATTTAATGGCTTCACATAAACTTCACCGAGTTTTATGGACACATAGACTTTGGTTTGTTTTTATCTAGTTGCTGTTCAGATAGATGTGACTAATTCGAGTTTAAAAGCAGAGAAATTAAGGTGAAATTAAAGTGAAAAAATTAACTTCAACCCCTTAAAAAGCTTTTAATCCGAAATAAGCTGGAAGTGGCTTTTCATTTTTAAATAAATAATTTCCATTTGAATTATTCGAAATTTCATTCCGGACTTCTCTGGAAATGTTTCAAGCCAACAAAGAAGCTGAAAAACCCTCTTTTCGTTTTTACAATGCAATGACATGATACGAAATAAATGTCAGCTCCATGCTGATTCTTGTTACATGAAGACGAATGAGAGAAGTGAAAATTTAATAATATTCAAAACACGAATAGGAGAATGAAGAACCATAAAGTGAAACACATATGTGAATAAGTAGTTGTTGGTTGGCAGTTTTTTCGGTGGCCAATGTCAAGTTTCGCTAGCAGCAATTTTTTTATTTTTTCAGAATGGTGAAATTAAATTTCATTCCATTTAATTTTCGATTTTATGTTGGAGTAGATTGAAATGAATAATATTTAATTTATTGCTACCTTGACTGCCTACATGTTTGCAAATAAATGAGTTCCACTTAAATTGAAGCAGATAATTTTTGACGGGAAGCTAAATCATGATAATTACTTACTTATCTTTTTTAATACATTTAATCTTTATTTATTAAGAAATTTATGGTACGAAATAAACAGTAAACAAATTGTTTTCATTTCAAATTTAAAGGAATTTTAGAGGAAATTTATTTCCGCCGTTTGAAGATCAGACAAAAGGTTCTTGACGATTTAAATCCAGTGACTTGATAGATAAATGTTTTGAAACATTATTAAATGGAAAACCATCAGCGGGCTATTTATTTACACAAAAAGAAATTATGATAAGTAAGCTTCTAGGAATAATATAATTAAATAATCACTCAAATATCTTTAGGGAGAATCATAAATGAATTGTTGTAACTTTTTCATTCTTCATGCTTTTAAGTATCATTACGTGTTTAATTTCAAGAAAATGTATAAATCTTCTGAGAGCTTTGAAGCTTTTCTATCTGTCTTTACGTTATACTCAAGAGTGATTAAATTTGTATTATCTTATCGGTTTTATGAGGCGTTTAAGGTATAAAAGTTGGAAGCGTTTCACATTTCACATTAGTTCGAACCATTCAATCAGAAGCAAAAGTTGGTTGTCAGTTTTTCGAAAGAGAAAAGTCATAAATTTACTATTAATAACGATTGCGATGAAGTCTATCATTTTAACGATAGCAATTTTCTTCACTTGCGGCTTAGTGAGTGAACCATAAAATAAATATTTAAATTTGTCACTTTCTCTTCCTTTTTGCTTTTAAGGCAGATGACCTTGGAAAATCACCCAAGCTGAAATTAATTTTTCCTGATGTTCTTTTCAACAATGCAAGGGAATATCAAGGCAACTTGGAAGAGTTACAAAAGGAAATAAATGATTTTATGGTGGAAGTTCAAACAATGATTTCGGGAGTGCTGGAGAAAAGTGCTTCAAAAACTCTTAATCAGTACGAAAATGTTACGAGAACCATTGAATCTAATTTCGAGCCAGTCATGGAAGCTTTCCAAACCTTAAAACATGGACCATGTAAAACTATCGCCGAGACATCATTGAACTCAACAACTCAGCTTGCTGGATTTCAAATCAGTAATTGTGCCAGTAATTACGATAGTCTTGTGCGATGTGAATTAGACAATGCTTCTGATGCTTTGAATGAGTTTAATAATTCATTTAATGAAGTTTCGTTGATTGTCATTAGATCTTTCATTGGAAAAAATATTTTCTTGTCATCGGAATGGATTGAAGAAACATTCACTAAAACATACAATTTAGTTAAGGAAAAGTGGATAAAATCTAAAATTGATCTCGATTTGGTTCGTAAAGGTTTGGAGGGTAAAATTGCTGAACAAAATGTTTGCCTTGAAGAGTGTCACGACACTACTGTGAACTCTGTTATTGTCCTTTACACTCTGTTTAAACAACAAGTCAATACATGCATGGAATTCGAGAACACTCCCGACCCATTCGCTAAAAGCATGAAAATTTCTTCATTTGTGGAAACCATTAGAAAACAAAAAGAAGATTTCGAAGTTGAATTTGCCAAAGCTAAAGCCAAAGTTTATGCATGGCCATAATTTCATTCAAGACTTCAGTTTCAGATTCTGTTAAATGTTGAAGTTAATTTAATTCAAGAAAAGAATAATAAAAAGATTTAGAAACAAGAATTATTGACTTTGTAAAAAACTTTTGTCATGACGTCAGTTATCAAGTCAAAAGATGACGAAAACTCTTGTTGGTTTTTAAATTCACGTCATTAATCTCAAGCCTTCAACTGACATCATAACTTTGAGTGATTACTTCATTTAAAATGAAAATTATTTAGCGGTTTAAGAATTTTATTGATATTCTGGTGAATTAAATTTTCGTCTGAATTCTGAATTAAAATCAGATGAAAAAACGTATTTGCCATTACATTTTCATATAATATTAACGTTTATGATCCGTTCAAGCCATAACAGATTATAAAAGGCTATTTCAAGATCGTTAAGCGTTTTGTCATTTGCAATCAAATTCATAAAGATAAAATTCTTCAAGATTCTTATCCAGATTTTCAGACTTTCCTTAAATAATTTTTGATACGAAGAAATCAAATCCGCAATAAATTTTTTATTACTGGAATCATCGAAGTTCCGAATGTTTCTTGTATCAATAGTTTATTGAGTACCTACGATAATCGGAAAAGTCATATAAATGAGCAATCTGACCAATCAAAAGCTTTTCGTCAAAGCATTACAGTCACTGAAACTTCTTCGTTGGAAACGACAACGAAGTAAATGAGACTAATCTTATCATTCTTAAAGGGAAAAAGCCGTCGCTAAACAATGACGTGATTAAGGTAAATAAATTTGATATAAAAACAGTCAACAAAAAGCAGAAAGATCAGTAATAGCAAATCAACTGAGACGTGCGTTCACTTAAAGTGCAGACGAAGCTAAATTTGATTTAAAATTGTGAAGAATTAAAAAAAAAGTTTAAAATGAAGTTAAGTATTGGAATTTTGTTAATTGCGTTAGTTGCTGTTCAGGGCGCTGTCATTAAAAGTGCAGACTCAGAAGTTCTTTTATCAACTTTCTTGATATCTCCTGAATCACTATTTGACATCGCTCGTGACTATCATGAACGGTCAAAACTTCTTCAAACAAATATTAATGAAGTTTTGACCTACACTCGAACTGCCGTTTCGACTGTGTTAGAAGAAACTTCTGGCGGCACTCTTGGAAAAATTGAGGAAAATTCAAAGCAAATAATGGCCCTAGACAACCCAGCACGTAATGCAATCTTTAGCCTTGAGGGAACTCTCTGCGTAAACAATTTAAAAGTTTTACTCAATGGAATAACTGAATTTACTGGTTTTGAGTCGAGCAATTGTTTAGCAGCGTATGACACAAATGTCCAAAATGCGGCAGAGACTGCCTTTGGATTAATTCAAGGTTTTGATGGAAATTATGCGGATGTTCAGCAAATCGTGGTCAGATCTTTTATTGGCAAAAATGCTTTCGTTCAAGCTGAAGAGATTGAAAAGCGTTTCACTGAAGAATACAACAAACGTGTTGGCGATGTGGGATCAAGACAAGCTGAGGTTGATGAATATATTAAAGCACTTACTGGAGCCATTGAATACTTCAATAACAATCTTGATGAATGCTTCAAAAATATTCACAACTTTATCGCCCCCGCATATGTAACACTTAAGGAACAAATTAAAACATGTGAAGAGTTTGACAATACTCCGAATCCATTTGCTTCCTTCTTAACCGTTACTACAACTCCCGCAATTGGAACAACTCCCGCAATTTGAACAACGACATAAACGAGAAATTTCTTTTAACTTTTCATTAATTACATTCCCATATTAATTTCACATATTTTACTCGACATGAAGATAAATTTATTTTCAAATTGCAATTATCTATGAAGTCAAACATAGACTTTAGAAGACTTTTATGTATTCTTTTTATGTATTGGGAAAGCCGACCTTGGATTTTGATGGTTAATGATGATGACAATGATGATGATAAAAAAAGATCAAAATTATCAATTATTCATAGAAAATTGTAAAATATTTGTTAAAATCAAATGAAATCAAAAAGGTTGTTTAATATTATTAAAGCCATTTTACTATTTCTTTATATTATTATACCCTAAAAATTGCATAAATAAAAATTTACTTCTGAACTAACAAGAAATTTCATTCTTAATGGGAGAGAGAAGAATTTTTATTTCAAATTAATTTTCCTAGCTTGTTTCACAGTTGGAGAATGAGGATTTGTTTTAAGCATTCATTCATAATGATTCACGAGAACTTCAATAGCTATGGCAACAAATTTTAATTCCTTATAGTTCCACTTGTGCTATCTGTGCAAAATGAATCTAATAATAATTAAATAATAAATTTGTTTCGTCTGTAAACATTTTAAAGAGAAAAATTTCTTAATCTTATCAAGAAATGTTTTTATGACATTTGATTGAGTTTTATTGTTTATTAAGAATTTCATTTCCATCTGTGTATCGCATACTTAGATCATCTATTTATAATTGAAGATTACATTTCGAAACTTCTCAACTTTCGTAGCTCTCGTATGATTTTTCATTCACTCAGACTTGGGAACTCATTCACTTTCTTATAGCTTGAATTCTTAAATGACTGTCAGCATAGAAAATGAAAAAAATTCATTTTTCATCTTATGTTGCTCTTGAGAAATTTTGTTTTGTTTTATTTTGAAGTGCTAGAGTTGAGCTTATGTTCTGCCTGCCTTGTTTTAAGAATAAAAGGAGCAAAAGATTGACCTTGAAACGCCATCGAGCAATAAATTAAATCACTTCATTTCTGCCTGCTGCCTTCATGTATATCTCCAACAATTCTTATTGCTTTCACTTAAATCTCTCGGGCAGCATATCCGTGAAATGAGTGAAGAAAAGAAAAATAAAAGCGATTGAGACTTTCTTTTAAAAATTTCTTCAATATTCGATTTCGTAAACAATTTATTTCACACTGTCATTTTGATTTATGTCGCACAAGTTTATTCGGCGAGTGAGACTCTGACAGATGAGATGAAATTTGCTGGGCTCTCTCGACGGTTTCTTTCTACCATCAATGATTGACATCCCGAAGATATTCATATAAAAATGTGGATAAATATATAAATTGTTCGTTCTATTGTCGTGATGAGAAAAAGAAGAAAATTTCTCTTAAATTCTGTTCTTTTTTTATCCCAAACAGCACTAAAATAAATCAGCAATTTCTTGGCATTAGAAAGTTGTATCAATTTCATGAAATGATCCTTATAAGAAAAGCAGCGAATAAATTTCTTCACAACCATAGTATCGATTTTATTTTTCCATAAAGAACTAACAATGTAAACTTTTTTTAAATGAAAAAGGAAGAAAAACGAGAGAAACTTGGAATGAACTTCGATTTCACAAATAAATAAATCTTTTGCAAGAAAACAATAAAAGAAATAGTTTACAATTTCTGAAAGTGAAGGAATAAAAAAGAATGAAATAACTTTTTAATTAATTAAATTTGCTTCAAATCTCTTTAACGTTTTAGGAGATTTTATATTTCTTGAAATAAAAATAAATGATTGAAACACAACAAGATGCAAACATGACCTACCATGAAGGAAAAAAAACACGAAAAATTCTTACAACATGAAAATTATACAATGGAGACCGCTGAATTTACATAATTACAACGCTTCCAGTTCAGCAAAAGTTGTGTCGCTTTGCCTTGCCCATGGCTTCACAATGTAATTTGCATAATTAAACGATTTCAAACCCAAGAAATCTTCAGTCCCCGTAACAGCTGTAATATTTTATTAGCTCAAGTAATTGTCGCTGTTTTTCCCCAACAAAACGAAAAATAATTGACTATCAAAAACAAATCCAGCGATTATGGAAAAACTGTTATAGGCAGTTCATTAGAAGAATTTTATCGTCAAATATGTTCTTCCTAAAAGCTTTTCTATTCTTTCTTTTTTTTTTGCAAGTCTCTTTAAAACTTTTCAGACGGATAAAAAGATGAATCTTGGTGATATTGCTTTGATATCAGAGATAGATCTACCGCTTCTTTGTTCGAAATTAATTTTCTCTTTGTCTACAATAAATTACTATACATTTTCAGCTTGACAGATCGCGTTTCTCATTTTCTCAATTCTTTTTCGTTTCCATCCCATCTTGTGCTACACACGCAGGAACGTAGACACGATAAAGAAAAAGTGTTTGTTATGAAAAGAAAATATCTTGGGGACATCTGAAAATTTTCTTTTTCCCATTTTAGAACGAGATATGTGAGCTTTCGCTACATCTGTGACATTGGTGGAACGCAAAGAGAAATCTAAAGATAATAAAAAGGAAAAGTTATAGCGCATTTAGGATTTGCTGATTTTAATTGAAAAGAAATCACAAGGTTGTTTCTTTATTTACATTTCTATTCATACTTGCTTACATACTCTTCACGTTACTGCTCGTTTGACATTCATTCGAAATGTTTGATCTAGATTGCGAATTCGAAGCATTTGGGGTGGAACAACACTCGACGTAATCAGAATTCACTTCCTGAATCCCATTATCTCTCGCTGTTAAAGTCTTGTCTTCTATGATTTGTTTTCTTTGTGAACAATACTCGAAAGAAATATTTATGTATCTTTTCTCTTTCTTCAACCATATTGCTTGAAAAGAAGGTGAATTCAAAGAATCATGAATGAAAAGTCTTGAATTTTTTGGAAAAACTTGTTGTCATTGTTCCGATCAAGCATTGAATGGAATTTATGTCAACATTTTAAGGTTCTCTTCTGCATGAGACATAAACGTCGATAGCAATTTTTATTTATAGTGCAATAAATTGTTAAAGCACCCAGAAAACTTTTCTTGACCACTTCATGTTATCGTGAGTAATGATGTTCTGTAACGATACTTGATGAAGAAAATGAGCCATCTGCAGCGAGTCAAGCCTCCTCAGTGTTTCACGAAAATGAGTGTGCAAATGGCTAAACTCAATAATGTCCATGTAGCAGGCAGTAAATTTTCATTTCTCTTCATAAAAGGAAAACTTCAGCGTAAACGAGAACAAAAGTTGTAAGTTCTTAAGCAAAATTTGTTGACATTTAACGAGAAAAAAAGGTAAGCAAACAACATTGAATTGAATGAAATTTTCATAAGAAAATCTTCGATGTAATGAACTCATTGAGAAGGGGAGAGTAATAAAAATCATAATAAATGTAAACCATACGCACCAGAATAAAGCAATTCATAAGAGAAGCATAATTAATGTGCAAGTTCTTATCGTTAATGGAAAGTTTTTCGAGCGCTTTCCTTAATTTTTTTTATGGATTTTTTGAATAAGAAATTTTCTTTTACTTTGTAATATCAACGGACAATTCTTTTCATCGTTTCTCATTCCCAGAAGATATCAACTCACATAAAAATTTAATTTTGTGAATTGTTAAAGTTGCCGAAAGGATGTTTTGCTTCTTTTTCTTCTTCATTTTCATAAAAATGATTATTCAAAAATAAGAAAGAAAAGAAATTTTCCAGGAACACGACGTATGTAAGCATCTAATGTAAAGTGAAACATTTCTTCTTTCAAAATATGCTAATTGTACTTACTCAAAAGCAAAGCAAATGTTGTCATAATTTTCGTGTTTCATCATCAAGTGGCAGTCATTTTAATTTCATGTATTCATATGTTCTATGTTTAAAAATCTGGTGCCAAGGAAAAAAGTGAGAAGAAAGTCAAGAACAAAATGTTTTCAAGTCATTGATTTCCATATTTAATTTTCTTCTTTTCTTTGTTCAAAGTTTGTGATGAATTTTTTTCAAGTGTTTCCAACTATCGTCATTTCTCATCATTTATGAATTATTCAGTTATTCTAATATATCATGAGAAACTTTTACGATAATGCTTCTTTAGGAGGTTCCATCCCTTTCACGGCGGAAGAAATTTATTGCTTGACAAATGCTCTGTCATCAATCATTCTGATCCTGAGAATACTTTTCGTTCAAAGTATGTTACATCTAACCCTTTTCTTTCTCCATCCATGGCTCTATTACTATGCGTAACCTGAATGATATGAATATTGTTCCATGTAAGTAATTTAATGAAAAATGATATTTTATTGTCAAGCTAACTTCCATTCAACATACATTGCACATCAGTTCAATAACCATTGAATTGAGAGATACGCAAAGAACTTTTATCACTATCAAAACTTTTCAATGCTTTTGTCATCGCTTTTTTATGGATATTCTTCAAAAAGGTTTTTCTATTAATGTTTACTTTTTATTGCTATCAACGATAGCATAAATATTTTAGAACGAAACCATAGATAAGTATGCAAACATTTAAAATTGTTTAGAAGTCGATAAATTTTCCTTCGTTCATTTTATTGCCGCGTTAAACATAACCACAAGGCAACGGGCGATCGCAAGTATGCGATGAAATATTTTCCCCGCTTGATACCCATGAGAATTTCTGCCACAAAATTTTCCCTGACAAGTGAAAAAGTAATTTTCTTGCTTGTTATAAAACATACAAACTAAATAATTGGAAACCCACACAAGCACTACTTGAACGAGATGACAGTTGTAATCAGTTTTGCCAGAATCAGAAATATATCATTTGCAATTTCCTGTATAATTAATAGTAAAGGGAGACAAAGAGAAAAAAGTTTTTTCGTCAGTTTATTAAACTCTGAAACTTATTTATTTAATAGTGGAACGACAGACTACAACTGACATTCGTAATCGGCTTTACCATGTGAAAATGTTTGTTTTTCGAGAGTTATGTTATTGTGTGTAACCGACACGTCAGTGAAGTATTTTAATGAATAAATAATTCAAGTTTCGTCATAAGCTCTCCATAAAAATAAATATTTCATGAAAGTTCTCGGGATGTTTATAAATAATGAAATATTCAACAGCTGGAAATGTTTGTTGGGTCATTAAATCCTTCAAAGAGTCTCCCTTTAAAACTGTCATTAATATAATATTTTTAAACCATCAATTATAGCAACGAAATCATTTAATATCCTTTTCAATGTTGACAGAAGATTTACAACACAAAAAATGAAACGTTTTGAAAAAGCAAACCGTCATGATTCCCATAAATTGAGGATTACCATGATTTTCCATAAACATTAAATTGAGCTGTGGACTGTGCTTGTTGAAGATGGAAATAAATTCACCAAAAAAATGTGAATTTGTGAAAGCCACAAAGAAATAGTTTAAGTTTCGTCCTTAAAAGAAACTTCTTAAACATTTGTAAACCTTTTCAAACTGTTTTTATTTATTCAAATGTCTTATTCTGGATTCCTTTATTTATGCAACTTTGGTTTCATTTCAAATGTTGTTTTTGACTATGACAACAAAATATAATTAGATGCATATCATCATCTTATTATTTGTCTTATGTTGCTCTACCTAAGAAAAAGTTTCTTATCAAAACATTAAATTTCGTGCAATGCAGAAAACTAAATGAAAAAGCAATAAAAAATAAAATTCTTATGCGCATTCAATATCTATTAACGAGCTTAAAATAAGAAAGAAATGTACGAAAGCAAACGTCTTAAAGTCATAAATAAAAAATAAGTTTCTGGTCATGAATTTTAATGATCTTATTTCAGACATTTTTCTTTTATCGTTGCAAAATCATCGAACTTTTATTTTCACCATTTTTTAAACTGCATGAGAAGAAAAAAGTTTTTTTGTATTGCAAATTTTGCAATCTTCAATTCTTGTTGGAACTTAAATAAACTTCAAATCTTTGTATGATGTAAATTTTCTAGATTAATCTCTCAAGTATAAAACTGATTTGTAGTGTTGGGAATCACAACTTGGGAATTCATGAAAGCACAAGTAAGTAAGTGAAAGAGGGAGAGAAACATGATTGTCAGTGGTTCTCAGAGAAATTTATGAAATAATGAGAGCAAAATATCATCTCGTTGTCGAGAATAAAAGATGAAGAAATGTGAGCCACTTGAATCAATCTGAAGTGAACTATTAGTGAGATTAAATCGGGATTATAATGACGCTGGGATTTTTTACTTTGCTTTTATTTACTTCGTGTCATCTTCATTATTCCTTGGGGGAAAAACCAACGTGTGAGTTTTTGATAAGAATTTTCCATAACAAAGTATGCAATTAAAATAATAATAATTTCACTTTTAAAGTCAAGATTTGTGTTCCCGCAATTGTGCTTCCAGCATGTACAGAATTAATGAACAAAAGAAGTGAAATCGCTACAATTGAATGTATTGCGGGTCGTGATAGGGTTGAATGTTTAAATTTAGTTGAACGTCGTGAAGCTGATTTTATGGCTGTTGACCCCGAAGATCTTTACCTAGCAATGAAGAAGAAGAATGAAGATTATTCGGTTTTCGCTGACATTAGGACGAAAGAAGAATTGATGGCAGAGTTTCGTTACGAAGGCATTTTGCTTGTCAAAAAGAATTCTGGAATTAATTCACTTTCAGATTTGCGTGGAAAGAAATCTTGTCATACCGGCTATGGACGAAACGTCGGATATAAAATTCCTATAACTAAATTGAAATCACACAATCTCTTCAAAATTGACCCAGACACAAGCATGTCGCCTGTTGAGCGTGAGTTAAAAGCTTTATCAGAATTCTTCAGTGAGTCGTGCTTAGTTGGAAAATATTCATCAAATGAAGATGTTAATAGAAAGCTTAAAAAGAGTTATCCAAACTTATGCGCGCTTTGTGCAGATCCCATTAAATGTGACTACCCTGACAGGTTCTCAGGCTACGACGGAAGTATTTTGTGCTTGGCCGAGAATGGAGGTGATGTAGCATTCACAAAAGTTATTTATGTTCGGAAATACTTTGGCGTAAGTTTCTGTCTGTTGGTCACACTGTTAACATTTTCGTTCTCGTCTTTAAGATTAATGATCTCTTTCAGCTTCCTATTGGTCACGCAACGAAATCTTTGACCGAGCCTCAGGCAGATCCAAACGATTACGAATATTTATGTGAAGATGGCTCAAAGGTGCCTGTCACAGGAAAAGCATGCAGTTGGGCTGCCAGACCATGGCAAGCTTATATAGGAAATGGTGACATCAATCAAAAGGTAATTCCAGTTAACTAATTACTGTAGAATGACATCTTTAATCAACTGAATATTTTTCGGATAGGAAATGAATCTTCTTCAACAACGTTTAAGAATTTTCTACGAAGATGCTAAAAGTGCTGATCATGAGAAAGTAATTGAAATAGCTTTGCGTCTGACTTCGTATTTTTTTATATTCCAATTCCAATAAATGTTCATTTTGTAGTTTGCCAAACAAATGATGGTGAATGAGAAGAATACTGTTGTTGCCAAAGAAGAGCCAATATATCCGAGAGATCACCTTTTGAAAGCAAAATACGCTGACGTTATCGAACGTTCAATACTAGACGGAAGCTCTAACGATGAGAAAATTAATGTTTGTGTGTCTAGCAATATCGAAATGAGGAAATGCCAAGTGATGCGAGATGTTGCATTCTCTCGTGACATCCGACCGTCATTTGATTGCATTTTAAAAGACAAAACGCTCTGTTCACAAGCAGTTAAAGATGGTCAGGCTGACGCTATCATTGTGCAAGCAAAGAATATCGATAAATACGACTTCGTCGATCTCATGCCAATTGTTTTCGAAGCATATGATGACAACAATAGATACGTTGTCATAGCTGATGCAGATACCACTTACAATGAAATTAAAAAATCTCATTTGTTCGTTTCTCTATTTTTCTTTGTTTTTTAAACAAAAGATATCTCATTATGAAGTTGATTATTTCCATCTTTTCTCTTTCTATGTCTGCACAGAAAGTTCGACTCATCGAATCTTCGTAGCGTTAACGCTGCATTGCAATTTCTGGATAAACGTCGAAGTGAACATACTGAAAGAGTCTGTCCAAACAATATTAAGAATGATGAGAATGGAAAATTACAAGTCGTGAACTCGAAAGAATTACATAAACAAGTACTCGAATGATAAAGTTTTGGTGTGCCAAAATTTGAAAACAAAACCATTGAGTGAATACAAAGCTTGTAATTTTGATGCCAACCTGCCAGCAACTGTGAGTGAGAACGACGTTATTCAAGCGGAATTAATATTTCATCGATTTTTCCTTCTTCTTTTCATCGTTCCTGTTTATATTGGAACGAACAGGTCTACATTCGAAAATCATTGTATCCCCATCGGATTGATAGCATCAAGCATTCATTTATATCACTCTCGGATAAATTTGGAAGTTTGCGCCCTCAAGAAGATGTTTTTACTTTGTTTGGGATGTTCGAAGATGGTCACCCTGATGTTCTGTTCGATGTAAATCATAAACCAAAATTTTCTTTGACATTTACATGATTTGTTTTATTTAACATTTTCCTTCTGATAGGATGACGCAATAAGTTTCACAACGGAACAGAAAGGAATTGATGAAAGAGCCTACAGAAAAATGAGATGTTTAAATGAAGAAATCAAAGGAAGAGTTTCCTACTGACATATTTTGTAATTTAAATAATTTTATGAACATTCAGCTATGTTCTAAAATGTATAAAAATAAATAAATATGTAGTCAGAACAAAGGAAAGAATCTTTTGAGGAAGATTTAGCTTCATAAAAAGCACATTTGAATTATGGTGACACTTTTTGAATTAATGTAGCGAAAATACGCATAAACATAAAGCATTATTAAAATATGTTTCGCTTACGAATGCCTTATGCAGAGAGTGCTTTGAAGAGCATTATTAGCCTACTTATAATAAATATTTTCATGGAAATTTATTTGTAAAGATTTCTTTTCTCCTTGAGCACTTAAAAGTCTTCGAGCATTGAAATAACACGAAAACCATGACGGTTGTTGGGAGAATTAACCCAGAATCATGAAGGACTCACCAAGAGATTTTTGACGAATTCTCAAACTTTGCGAAAACGAAGAAAAATGTTTTTTCGAAAAACTTGACGCATATCTTAACAAAAGAAGCTTTTCGTTACCCGGTTGAAGGCATTAGATTGCCTCTAGAAATATTTCGAAGTATTTTCACTCACCCAAGCAAGAAGAACATTCAAACATGCAGATAAATTTGTATTCCTTTAAACATTTTCACAAATATAAAGATGGAAAGATAATTGAAATTTTAAGAAGTTTATCATCGTTTTTCGCTTTGAAGTCTATCGTCGTTTTATATTTGCGGTGAATTTGCCTTCCTTACTGCTACTGATTACATCATCTTCAGAATCCCATAAGCCGCGAACATTTACACACCTTTGATGTTGCATTTGCGAAACTTAGCGAGTAAAAAAAGATAATTTAATTTATTATCTCAACACTTCCAAGAGAGACAGTCGCGTCGGAAGCTTTCTTCCTTTTCTTTCCGCGCTGACGAAAAGCTTAACGGCGGGAAAAATGTTATCTGACACAAACAATCTGTGTCACAGTTTTCAAGCATGTTTTTGAGAAATTTATGAGTTTTAAGGGTTTTAAACGCTTGTTGAATGAGTAACGGCAATGTGGCAAATTTTATCCTAAACATGAACAAAAATAAAAACTGGGGCAGGCGATGAAAGTATTCACCCTCAATAAAAGATAGAGAAGCTCCAGTGGGATGCTCCGAGACAATGATAAATGATAGTTTAGAGACGAAAATAATTTTCAGCTTTCGTTGCTTGTCGCTTTTTCATCATCGTTACAATTGTTAGAAGCAAAAAGCAAAAAACAAAACAAAAAAAGTCAAAAATGCAAAACACTCAAAGTTCGTTCGCTTTCTATTGTAATTCTTATTAAATAGAATTAAATGTTAGAAGGGAATAAACTTGATTATCTTATAGTGAGTTCAACTTGAACATTCTCGGAGAAATCTAAAGTAATAAAAGTGATATTCTATTACGAAAACGTGTAGTCATTTCCTTCCTTAGTGACTCAACACTAATTTAGAAATGAAACTTTCTCTAAGATATGTAAGAAAGTATAATAACGTTCTCGCCTCTTGTTTCTCATCAAGATTTCATTAGAAGAAAGAAGAAACTACGCTACAACAAAGCAGGAAGGAACAACGTTGAGTCACGCTTTAGGCCATTTGCTTGGATATTTTATATAAAATAAAGAAAAAGTTCAAGGAAAAGTTCTTATAAATAAATTTAACATTCAATAAAAACTTAAAATTAAGTTTAAATCATCACATGCAAGACTTTTCCTTTATTCAACAAACTTCATCTCAAGAAATACAATTTAAATATTTATTCTAGAATTATCAATGCTTCCATCGGAAAATGTTAAATTTTAATTAAAAATTCAAACATCCGGATGTTTTAAGCTTTTCCTTATTAACATTCAAATCACAAGCACGGCTTAACTCTCATTCATCTATGTTTGCTTTAACATAAAAACATTAAATATTGAACTATAACAAGACTTTAACTTCCTTCCCTCACAAAAGAAAAATTATTTTCACTTGATTTGTAGTTTCATCATCATCTTGATTCGAGGTGAGAATACGACAGGAAATCTATACATTACAGCTGTCAGAATCACAGTTCATTAGATAACAGAAGAACTGAAATGTAATGCATCAATAGACTCAGAAATCCTTTTATTTCTATCTTCTTTTATTCCCATTACATCTGCGCTCGTGTCTTCCAAAAAAAAGAAGAAGAAAAGGCCATCACCATACCATCATCATTTGTTATCGAACTTTCCAATGTGGATCCATAGCAAAATTCAAGCTATTCCTAATTAATTATTAAATTTAGGACAAATCTTTCCACAGACTGTCACGATGAGTTCAACAGAATAATTCCCCAGCGTCTGATGAGAAAAGTGTAGACGCCTGTCTTTCAACTATCTACTAATGATTGCTTTGGAGCAAGCAAAGAGAAACATTTATTATGAATGTCGCGTCTGGTGAAAGAAAATTAATTGATTTAAAGCTATTAATCGTGATAAATAATCTTTGAATGTCACTTCTTAAAGTCATCTACATATTTATTTATTTTCTAATGCGACATGATTTCAATAAAACTTCCGAAACCAACTTGTCAAGCTCGTTAAATTTCATTTTCTGCTTTTTCATTTCTTTGTTCACTGTTGTCTACTTAGTTCGTTGTTCAGTTTACAAGGAAATAAAGTTCCGTTAGTGACTTGTGTTCACAACTTACAATACAATGCTGAAGCATAAATTATGGATAATAATTTTCATTGAAGGAAACGATGAACATTTGGATTTTCCGAAAATTACTTTACAGCTATCAAAAGTGGTACCAGCGGAATAAAAGCAACTTAATTATAAAGCTTTCGGATTCTCAAGTGCTTGCCTAGTTCATATTCTTAATTGGATTGGCTTTGCACTATAATTTTAATTGAGGGTTATATGAAAGAATGAATGAATGACTTAGTGCATGAATAGGAATAGTTGGCGTTCATTTTGCGTGTAGCAATTTAAATTCATGTCCAGTTGAATAAAAGTTTTTGTTAAATTTATTTAGCTTGCTTGGTTCAAGTTGTATAATCTTCCCATTCATATCAATAATTTTTATTGTTAGCCTTTTTTTCTTCTGTGGCTTTTATTCTCATGTCAAACATTGCAAATATTCTGCATAAATCTAATATTATTACCGATACAACGCCAATAAAATTAAAGAGAAGAACATGAATAATTTTGAGTCACAATTTTTTCATTCGAAATTCCAGTAAGTTAGCATTTTATGTTGGATAACATTCCATAAAAACTTGAATAAAAGCATATGCTTTGAATTCAAGAATAACTGATTCTTCATTTACTGAAAAGATCGATTGCGAGCGAATAATCAAACAGAAAAACAAAGTTTGTAAACAACTGTAGTTCATCGTCTTGATGCGAGAATAAAAAGAATAAAATGAAACTTTTGCAAATCTAGATCGTGACAAAAATATTTGCAGGCGGAATAAATACAATCGGAAAAGTTCATGAATGAACAAAAAGAGTGGAAAAGTTTGAAGATAAGAAAATGAATAGAAGTGAATATCTCAACATTGAGGGGATAATTGAAGTTGCTTCTGGTTCCGTAAAGCATGGAAAGTTTTCGGCAACTGTTCATTTCCAGTCACTTCCAGCTTTCCATCAAACTTTCCACAACTTTTTAAATTAGAGGAAATGGAAACAATTTCAAAAGTAAGCTTTCACATGTTAAGAAAGAAAAAGTTACAAACAACCGTCAGCAATCTGTCCAATCTTCATTTCACCAATTTTGTTAGTCAAGTGAAAATTATTTTGATAAATATTCATTGAATCTGATGAACCAAAGTCTTGGCTTCCTAGACAGCTTCTTACATTTTACTTTATTTGTTTTCCCTTCAAACCCTCTGCTATGTTAAAGGAACTTGATAGAACAAGAAATGAATTTGATTAAGTAAACAGAGAAGGTTCTGAATCGTAACATTCTTACGACACATTTAAAAATTTCTAAGATAATTTCGTTCTTTTGCTTCATAAAAAATTTATGTTCTTTAAAATCACGTTCACTTACATATTTATTCGTTTTCTTAGATTGTATCAAGATTATATTAAGTTTATTTTAACATATTTTGCCTATGATTCATTTGACAACCTTTCCAAGTCAAAATTTATTTACATTGTTACATTAAAGTACTTCTTGGAAGATCTACGCAATTTCTCAGTACTTACGCTTACTCCAAAAAGGAAAAGTTTTTCCAAATTTCATTTCCTTAATCTCAAAAATAAAACTTAAAGATGAAATTTGTTTTTGAATTTGAAAAAAAATTTACAAAGAAATAAATAAAAATTATCATCGCTCGATAAAATTTCTTTTTCTCAAAATTAAGCAATTGCTTTGCATATTTAAACTTTGATATTTATTTTTCCTCATAATGTATTAAAGTTTGTAAAAAGAAGGGAAATGAAAAAGATATGTTCGTAACTTTATATTTATACAGATTTTCTGCATAAATAATCATAAATTCACATCGAGGAGTATCGAAACAGCATCATTGTGTGATTCGACATGAATATCAATTACAGTCTGTTCAAAGCTTTTTTTTCTTGGTACTGACGTAATTTCATTTTACCACTTCGTAAATATCTTTATTTACTCTTTCTCGTATGCTTTATATGACACTTCGAAAAAGCTGTCACATCGTTCATTATGGTTAAGAATATTTTCCTTTCAGTTAAGAGCGGGTGTTGTTAATACTTATTCAGACTCTTCATTGATGTTCGAACATAAAAGGCTTGAAATAAAAAAAAATAGCAAATTGCTTAGTAGGTATTCAAGTCTCGAATGTATCTATTTAAATTCATAAAAAGGTAATATCGTAAGTCTCGACATATGATGTACGTTACCACAGCTTTGGATTGAAAAAAAAGAGTTCTGGATGTGATGAATGGAAAAATATGAAAACCAATTCAATTACTGTTCACTTAAAGAAGAAACCATTTCGAGATTAAATTTTATGTTTCATCTTGAACTACTTAAAAATAAGAAATTTCAAAGAAAACAGACTTTTGAATCAAAAGTTTTGATTGTCTAGATACACATAAATGTTGCATAATGTTTTAATGTTGCTGATGGATAAGTAATTTCATTGAAAATGTTTACCATGAAATTAAAATTTCCTTCTGAAAATCTCTTTTAATTATAATTTAGACATCTTAAAATATCATTTTTCATTATACAATGCATAAAATATACATAAATAAGCAAACAGAACATCAAACAAACATTAATTTGAATTTCAAGTCTTTTTTTTTCAGCGTTCTTATTAATGAATGTTCATCGCTAAATCGAAAATCATTGACAATGATGTTTCAAATTCAGATTATGAACGAATCAAATTTCAATATTTTATTATCAACCTTGAGAATTTCTGAGACATTTTCAAGCTTTAGTCACAAATATTGATTGTAGGTGCAAATTATGATTAAAATTTATGATCATGAGACTTACAGTGACGACAGACTAAATAGTTGTAAACCTTCCTTAAATTCTTAATTTTTATGAGCTTTGCCAAGAGCTTTTATACATGAATAAGAAAATATCAGTCTTTTAATATTTCCGTAGCCATTTTAATTATGAAGCTTAAATATTACAGACTCAAACATGAACTTCATCTATCTATGATAAATATTAAGAGAATAATTGTGATGAAACGTCAGATGCAATCTCCTGTATCGTCTAGTAAAATGTTAGATTACGTTCTGTAAAATCCATTCGTAAAATGAAAACTTCCTTCGGTCCAAGTCAAACAACAGACATCTATGAAAATAAGAAACTATGCTGCAACATGCACCAGTGAATCAGATTATGTATTTAATATTCTCCAACCACTTATAGAGGAAAGGGAGATTCATTAGGAAGTGGAATGTGCACTTCCTGGTCTCACAGAAACTAATTATATTATTTTACATTCTAATTAATTATGACAACGAAACCAACGAGAAAAAAAATTAAAATAAATTTATGACGGGTGGAGAATTATAAAATTCTACATTTAAATATTTTAAATTAACTTTTGTGAAGGTTTTTCGTTAGGAGTATAAATTGAAAAATAAGGAAATTCGTAACTCTTGAATCAAATACGCAAATAGGAGAATAACAAGAATTCATTGACAACAAAAGCGCTTATAAACAGATAAACGGCGACAAAGCTTTTTTCCACTAGACTCAGCATAAAAATGTCAGAAAGACAAGAAAATGCCATGACTCAGGATATTGTACGGGCTCATGAACTGTAAGATTTTCGTGGTTTACCGACAACAGAGCCAATAAATACATGAAAAAGAAGGGAAAGAAAAAAAGCTTAAGTTTGAAAACGAAAAACTTCTCTGTTTTCCTTGCGATTCGATTTTGTTTATTTCCTCTCTCGCTTTCTAGCAGCATCGAACGTCTGGAAATCTTATTAAAGCAAGTTTGAAGGTACTGACATCAGAATTTTATTATTTATTCACTGGATTTGCAATGAATTCTCCGACAAAGTGAATGTAAACGAATAAGTTTTCGCTTCCTTCGAATCAATTGCATGTGCGTGACGAAAATTCTGATTGAAAGATTGAATCGCGCGTTATTGGCTCTTTCAACTCATATGGTTTGTACTTCGTTGTTATTCGTAAAAAGATTGCAAATTATTTAACTCAATGACGGCTTAGAAGCAAATAATTCTATGTAAGTATAAATTATTCTTCCTTCCGCTTCCTGATTACCTAATTTCGGGTCAGATTGAAAATAAGCCTGAAGCATGAGTGAAAATATTACACATGCAGACTTTATATCGAGATTTTCGTGGCGATAGCGTTTTCGCATTGAAAGCTTTTCATTCAACGGCGCCATGACGCATAACGTTTCTCTTTCTGCTTATCGGCTGGTTACTCGCGTATGATGGGTTGTACGCCATTAAAGGATTAGAATTATTCGTTTCCTACACATAGCTTCGAGAATATCAACGACAAACGAATCAAATATAAGATGAATTTGCTCTTGTTCTATGCATGAATGAATAACAATTCAAGTTACATCTACTAGGAAAAGATTGAAAGATCCTTTGCTTAAGTTACTCACTAAAGCAAAAGTAATTTTTAACCCACGTTGATAAGTGAAACATTTTTACGTTTACCTTTCCTTTTGCCTACACTTCATGTAAATAATCGTAAAGCTAATGAACTTTCCACCTTCTGGTTAATCATCTCGAGTTTCATGTCACTAACTCTCTAATTAAAAGGTAAAAATCTCATTCGTTTTTGTTTGAGGCTTTATACACAGATATTTAATAATGTTTCATGAATGCTTTGTGTGCTGACACAAAAGAGGGAGTCAATTCAACATCGTCTCTTTCATAATAAATTGTTGTTGACATGCGAGAGTCAGGAAGAGCCACAATAACTTCTCGTTATAATTTTAATGCTTTCAATACAAATAATCTTTGTTAAATCCTTCTGATAATTTTTATGCTTTGGTTCTCTATTCATGCTGTTGTAGTTATAATAACATTCAGGTAGATGAAAAGCAAACAATGCATTTTCAAGCATAGTTTTCATCCATATCTGATTATGATGGTGCTGCAAGCGACAATTTGCAAGCTTCACTAGACTTCCATCTCTTCCACATTTATTTCATAAGCATATAAAAAACACTTTGAATCATATAATGGGAGAGATAAGTGAACCTTTTTCTCGCCTCGTCTAATTCATTTAAGTTTTTACAAGGTTAAAGATGTGGCAATTAAAGCTCCAGCTGTTAGGTTTTAAGCCCACAAATTAATGTCTTTTTTCCTTATTATGAACAATCCTAAAGTTAACCACTGAAGGAGAAGAGATTACAAAATTGTTGTCGCACTTATATTTAATGACTACTCAGGCTTCAGCTTTAAATACTAAATTATGTGCTACTCATCATAATCATGAGCTTTCCTTTATTTGTTTATTCTTTTTTCTACAAAATGTTTACAAACATTTTTTAAATGTTAATCTTAACTAATCTGTTTCATTTTAGAGGTTTACAAGTTTTTGATGCGAGTAATTTTCCCAAAGAACAAAAAATAAAGTGAGAGAAAATAATAACGGGGAGGCAGATTACCGGCGATAAGCGCTTTTCAGGCTAAATTTAAACTTTTAAGCTCTAAGTAGGTATTACGATGTTGATTCATTATTAATGTAAATATCGAGATATTAAAAAAGGAAGAAGCATTTAAATCATGCTAGATAAAGAGAACAGAAAAATAAAATTTAAGGAACAAAATAAGAAAATTATAATCGTTGAACGACGTCTTAATTGATGTCGGCAGACGTTGCAAATGGTCATATTTTATATCTGGAATATATAAGACTCGCTTCTTGTGTTATCTTAGTCAAAAGATCAACATTGTAGAATATTGTTTTTATGTTCTCAAAATTGTCAAGATTTTTATCATTTTCCTTCAGATATTCACAATTTTCTTTAAATAGCTAATAGAAAAATTCCATTTCAAAATCGGTTACTTGGTGATTGTCAATTATGTTCACATAGAAACTACAATTTGTTTGGTTTTTACAACAAAGTCTTTAATTCTTAATCCCATTAAAAATACTTCGTTTGAATTATTTTAATTTAGATGCTACAACTTGTCGCAATTATTGCTTTAAAGCTTTCGAAATCTTTCGAATTAGGAAAATGTTCCGAAATGCAAGTGTTGTGACGAAAGTTGACTAATCTCAACTTCCTCAATGGTGTAAACAAATCCAAGTCGATGATCTTAAATTGGTTATAGTCCATGTGAATTTCCTCCAAATTGAAATTTTTCCTGAAAAGTCGACCATCGAGATATTCAATTTGATTCCTGTAAGCATAAAATATTTCTAAATTTGGGCTTTTGATGAACAAATCGACGTCAAATGAAAGGATCTGATTATCTTGAAGAAGTAGTTTTTTTAAACCTGGAACATCATAAAAGGTGTCTCCTGGAATATTACCAAGTTCGTTGTAAGCAATTTCAATATTTGTCAAAAATTGAAAACCGCTGAAATCACTTCTTTGAATGTGCTTCAAATTTGTTTTATGTGCAAAATAGCTTCTAAGGTTTGGGAAGAGTTCTGGAATTCCATGTGGCAAATGTGATGTCTTTTGGTATCGGACAAAAAACTCTTTCACGTCGTTGTTGTTGTGTTGGCTTAAATGAAATCCAAACATTACAGATATCTTAACGTTAGGCTGCTGAATGACGAGCTCTTCTGGCCAGCAGGTATACTTTGTACCTTCTTCTAAAACAAACTTGCACGTCATATCAGTTTCAATGTCCATTTCCTTAGCTATCCAGTTTGAAAATTTCGCAACATCAGTGAAGATCGAATAACTTTCAACGTCACACATTCCTTCATCCGTGAGGAGTGAAGAAGAAACGATTCCTTTAATAAACCATTTAATGTTGGCCTTCATATACAAACCACCACCACTGTCACCTGCGAAGATCATTCGAAAATCAAAGCTCGGTTTAAAGTTTCAATATTCCTTCACTTCACCTTTACATGGTCCACTTCCATTTTCACCGATAGCACAAAATGTGCGACTTGAAATTAAACTTTCCATAGTTTCATCTTCATAGCAAACTTCATTTGTAACAATCCTCAGATCGACTTGTCTTGCAATTAATTGATGTTGGGTTGTCAACTGATCTTCGATGACTCCCCTGAGTTTCAAAAAGAAATTAAATTGAAACAAATAATTAAATATCGGAGAACTTACCATCCGATAACAGTTCCAGTTGGAACATTTCTCATTCCTAATGCAGAGCTCCATAAGCACGCAGGATAAATATTTGATCTTATTGGGACAGTTCCATCAATTTTAATTAATGCAATGTCTGAATCATATTTCTCTTGATGAATGTTCCAATCGGGATGAATTTTTATTTTTTCAGGAAAAGCTGGGATTGAGCCGCGTTCATAGACAAGACTCAAATTATATTTTCCGAGATGCAAAACGAATTTTGATGGTGTTAAAGGTGCTTCCTGACCCTTTTCTTGAAGGCAATGTGCAGCTGTTAGGACATGACTGCGTGAAATGAGAGTTCCACCACAGAAAAACTTCCCATCGGCAACCATCATCATTGCCACCAAGAACGGCCACTGATTTCTTTTCACCACTTTTCCATTGTAGATCAATCCACTAGCTCTTAAAGATACACCACACTGGTTCTCAGCGTTCGGCCCTTCTACTAGATTATCAGATTGAATTTGCGTTATAGCAAAAAGAATAAGCAAAAATTTCAGCACAACTGCGACGTTCGAATTCATTTTTACTAATGTGAATTTCATTTCTCTTCTGAATATTTATAATTATTGATAACGCGAGTTTCTCAGGTCAAATGCCACTCAAATGAAAGGTGGAATTTTTGTTTACATTTTGAAGTTTATGTTTGTTCTTTGTCCGATCAGGGAGTTTCAAAACATTTTTTTTAGAAATTTTGTGTGTGCATAAATTTTGGTAAATTGTTTTAATGATAACCTTTTAATAATACGTTTCAAACTCAAACAAAACATTAAAGTGTTAAAGTAATACATCTTTAAAAAAAGTTCAAATTTGACAATAAGTAGCTGGAAAGAATTAATTACTTTTAAGATAGTTACGTAAACATAAATGTATAATTGTATGTAAAACAAATGTGGTTTTAACGTGAAATTAATTTTAATAAATATTTTATATTTGATTTAATGTTATTTTAATTAAACATTTCATACAATGAATATTAACATTTGATTCGAAGAGAAAACCAAACGTAACAAATCACTAAACGTTTCAATAAAACAACAGCACCAAAAAATAACGGAAATTTGAAATTCAAACTGTTGGATTTTCATTTTTGTATCTTTGATCTCTCCCAAATTGAAGCGAAGATGAAGCGTATTCGTATTTTTTTCTTAAATAATGTAACATCTTCTCATGTCGACGTTTTATGAACAGACGATGAGAAATTTGTGTTATGAGTTACCTAACTGTATTGTTCCCAAATATTCTCATTATTTTTGTGTTTATTCTCCTATTTTCAAAATTCACAATTCAGTCTTTTCTGTAAATCTCCCTTGAAAGCATCAAATTGCGATGGCTTCAAATAATAAAACTGTTTTTTTAAAGAAGTATGCAGGCAGAACAAAAGAAAAGGTAGGCAAAAAATCAAGTGGATAATAAAAAAAAAGAAGAGAATTGCGACAATCCAGTGCTGCGACAAAAAATAAACAAAAACAAATCCAAGTTGGAACGAACACAGATCGGAAAATGTAAAAGAAATATTTGGAGAATGTTGGGCGCAATAATATTGTAATTAAATTGTGGAAATATTTATTGGATAAAAGCGATTAGTTAATTCAGAATTGTGGTGAAGAATAGAAAATGAGAAGAAATATTTTTTCAAATATATTCACTAAAAAAGTGGCATTAAAAATAGAACTCAGCTAAAAATTACAGTGAGAGAAATAGAAAATGAAAAGATCAGAGAAAGGCAACGAAGAAGAAGGAAATCTGAATTTTAAGTGTGCGAAGAGTCTCCAAAAATAGTGAAGAGTTTATTGAACGAAAAAATTGATTACAATTTGTTATCTAATTCGATTTTGCTTTTTTGATAGCTTAACTTTGACGTCGTGTTTATCTGTTTCCATGATCTCAAACGCCGGTCAATTAAATCTCTTAAATTTTCAATGTCCCAAACATAAGTCAATCGAAAGGTCACTCAATTGAGACTTCTTTCGTGTTGTTACAATTATTATTAACACACAACGTAAACGACTCGCCATTTATTCATCATGATGTCACGCAGATTCTTTGACTACACAAATTCACAACTAACGAGAGTCAATTGTTCATTTACTCGTTACGTGTTGCAAAAGAATTTTATAATGTTGAGCAATAAATATCGTAAGAAGAAGATTAAAAGAGAAAGAGAAACGCTTGAAAGCATAACAGCAAGTTGAAAACCAGAATGCCCAGCCGGTTCAAAGATAAGATGAATTTCCTCATTCCAGAACTAATGAAATGTTTGTCCATACGATTAAATCAATTTGAAAGTTCTTCTTATGAATAATTCAGCAACATTCCATGCACTTCACAGTCTTCGCTTTGTCACATTTTATCGATTGATAGTTTGCAACCTTAGAAGCGTGTTGCAGAAGCAAATCAACAACAAATTGTTTGTACATTTCATTTATTCTCTTTGAGGCTCTAAGGGACTGAGAAATATGAATCATTTGGATTTCATATTTTTACACTCACTTTACTTACGAGAATAATTTTAATGAAGCCAAAGCTGAAGTCGGGCGGCGCATTGCGATCTGATGTGCCAGAAAAAAAAAACATTTTGCCGATTGAAATGGGATCACAGCCGCCGGGTAAAGAAAGTGAAAAATGTATTTCTGTGGGGAAGTTGGTGGAAACTGAGAGAACATTTAGCGATACAAATTACGTTAATTAAGTCTTTCGAAATGATTTTTGGTAGTGCCGAAAGCGAAGAAGTCAGAAACCTGAATTGACAAGTCTTTGGTTTGCTTTTTTCTACAGTCATATGCGAAGTTTCTCGTTGGCGTGGAATTTGGGCACAAATAAAAAAACATGAAACTTAAGAATAATATAAATTCAAACTGAAGTCATCGCCCACACACATACACACACTAATCGTTTCATTTGTGAGGTGAAAATCTCCAAATCAATTAGCTGTAGAGTCTAAAGCTGCCAACTTGAACCTGAGCTTGTGGGGTGACAAATAACTTGTCACATATCTGAAGCTCACACAACGAACAAAAACCTGTTTGACCTCTCAAAAAGTTCGTATCACTTTCTTCATCCGAGATGGATGTGCGGGATGGAATAAAGCAAGTTTGGAAAGTTTCATAAGTTGAAAGAGATGCGATTCGTAAACACACGACTTGGAGATGTTAGAGAAACTCGCCAATTCCAAATAGAGAATCAGATGCTTCAAATCCATTTTTGGAGTCGCTTGTTCGTTCGAAGCGTTCATTTACATGTGCTGTGCTTAAATAAATTGTGATGCTCAAACAATCAATAAACAAAACTGGTTTTTAAAATTTTTTTTCGACAACTTATGACCACACAATATACGACATCAAGTTGTAAACAAAATTCTTGCGTTTCCGATGAACAAAGTTTCATTCGAGTAAGAGAAAGCGAATATGATAAGAGACTTGTAACTCATATGCAATTAAGATAAAGCAAATTATATGTTACTTGAGGTTTAATGGAGAACCTAATGAAGGAGTGAATCAGCGCCATTATCTCAGATTTTCACTAAACTTTTCTTATCAAAGTTAAATAATTAACTTTAGAAAGTCATTAAATTCAAAGGTGTGTTAGTTTGTAAACTTAATTTACTCATAGCATGACCTTTAAGGTCATTTCACGTGACTCTTTCTCCCCATTCAAATTTACTTTCATTGACATCATTGGCTATTAAATATTTCAATTGACCGACAAAATTTTAACAAATATGCGACACAAAGTTTTGTTATCATCGTTAATTGACACTTGAAATTGAAAATTTGGCAAAAACAAAAGAAAATGTGCTGTCGATGCAGTCTTGTAAATGCTTGAATGAATTTCACAACTCGTTGATTGTTAATGGAGAAAATTTTGTATAAAATTAGAAATTTATCGTATTTATGATGAATATTAGACATCACATCAATGTGCGATGAGACATTCGTGGATCATGTTCAAACGTCAGTCACGTGTTGCTTTGAATTGACCATGAATGAATGGAAAAAGTTTGCCGTTAACATATTCACTCGTACAAAGTTAGTTTCAGTTTCATGGAAAGTCCCATCATATGAAATTACCCGATCGTGTGAATGCTTCGATTTTTTATTTAGTAACCAAATCATCGACATGAAGCACATCTTTCTGTTTATATCATACAATTTCATGCACTTGTGTGTGTTTGTTATTTTTAGATATTTCTCGTAGCTCTGCCGAAATAATTGTCGCGAAAACTTCGACATGATGAAGAGAAATTGTGATTAAATATCGCAAATGTGTTGAGCTTGTGCGATAAATTTTAGAGAATCACGTGGAGAGTTAAAAAGCTTCAAATTGCCCAAAGCTGACGTTCCATAAAGAAAGAAATAAAACGTTTATGATGTTTACTTTTGTTTTTAAAATTTTATATTCAGTCAATAAAAAGGAAGAAAAAATTTGCTTCAAATGAAAGTTTTAAGATGAATTTTCGTCCCAACTTATTTATTACAAATCTTTGATGCTAACGTTGCGAAAATTTGTATAAATGGACAAGAAAAATTATCATAATTCCAGCTTTAGATGTATTTGAGAAGATAAAATTCTGTTTTCCTCAGCAATTATCGCAAACGCTTCACAACACTAGCAGATTTTTATTTTTATTATTACAAGCTTCATAGGCTGTGAGTGAGAAAACTCACCTTGATTTTTATCAGCAAACAATTTTGGTTGACTCAGAATGTTTCGAGTTAATCGCAAGTCTTTTTGTTTCTGTTCAAATGGAATTTCTCAAGAAAATGATAAAGTGATAAGAGAACCGAAACTAGCTTTTAACAAGTGTTATTATGAATAGTTTCCCATGATAAAGAAAAATCTTTTCATGCGACCGAAAACATTTCAAGGTCGTGAAGAGAAACTTTTAAGAAGCTTAAGAAAAGTTTTATTGAACATTTCAAAACGATTTTTTGAAAATGCTGATAAAGTAAAGCTCTTAAAAGTGTTAATCTATTGCTACAATCGCTTTTTGTTAAAAACACATCAATAACGCAACCACTTCGTTAAGTTGTTTGTTTAAGAAGTAAAATAAGTAAAATTTATGTTAATTCTCCACGTCTCCCTTGAAAAAGTGTTAAACGAAGAATAAAAAAATCATTGTTGCGTCAGAAATTGCTTCCCATTCTCGAAGCGTAAAAAACAGTTAATTACACTACAATCGTAAAGTGAATTATGACAACTACTTCGCATATTACTTTCGACCTTGAACGTGAAGTTTTCGGATGCGATGTTCACTCGAATGGAACTTAAATTGTGTGCATTTATCATTCTATAAAAGTGAGATAGTGGGATAAAAATTATTTCAATTGTTTCCCAGATAAGTAGAATATTTGCTTAATAAAATCGCTAGACGGTGAATTGTATAAAAGTTTAAAATGTGTGGAAAATGTAATCAAGATACAAATATTTAGAACAGGGAGACGAAGAGAAGACGATGATAATTTGACCTAATTTCGTGTGTTCATGCAAACAAGTTAATGTCGGATGTGAATTGGGTTGAAAGTAGAGGAATTGTTATGAATATATTGTGATAATTTTGAATGTGGGACAAGGGCGTGAACCAGCAATGTTCAACATAAATTTCTATGTTCTGCCACGTGTTCCAATTACATCAAACTTTTAAGAAGACTTCATCTGGTTCCACTTCTATGAATTTGATTCAGTTTGCTTTGTTTACAAGAAAAATTAAATCTACCGCGGTCGGTGATGTAAATCAATTTCAATGTGTGCGTTTATTCTTAACCGCAGAAGCAAGTAGTTAGCGCGACTAAGCATGAAATATGAAGCCAACAACAAAAGAATTTCGTGATTTTCTTTTTAAAAACGAACATTCTTTGATTGTACTGCTTGCTGATTTATTTGAGCACTTAATTAAGCAACGATTTGATGAATGGTAGAACTGCTTGTGTCTGGATGATGTTTGATTTGTAGAAACAGCAGAAACTAATTTAGAAATGAGCAATAAAATTGATCGTTTGATGTGATTTTGATTGCATCATTTCCGAAGCGTACGATAAACTTTTCTTGCAAATCCAAACGGGAAATATTTATGTTATATATTTAAAGTTTGGCTGTCTGTGTCTATGCCAGCAGCACTGGGAGCAAGATGTTAATTGTTTACATCGAGAGATCAGGGCGAGTGATGATGTAAAAAATGATAATTACATGAAAATTGCTTTAAAATTGGACTTGGCGCCTTCAAGCTCAACAAGGTCTAAAGAGTTGTTCTGACTCTGACCAAAGAACGCAATTAAAATCATGTTGTTCATTAACCAGAACGCACTGCTGTGTTATCGTGATTTCCATGGTCAGAGATTGAAATTTGATTAAGGAAAACTCTCATCAAGAAGAAGAGTTATTTGAATAACCATCAAGTGTTTTATTTTCGAATGAAGTTTTGAGTTCTTTTTTTTTCTAATAAACATTTTTCTGTTCTCAATTGGAATAAACATTGATGCTTAGTGAGCTTGTAAGAGCGGCTGATGGCGTCACCGACCCAGAAACGCAAATACTTCACTTCCTCAACTTATCTCAACAGTTGTGCGGGTGACAGAAATTTATGCATAGCCAAATGCCGCTGATCTACTTTTGATTTTAAGTCTCATGCCAAATTTTTTAATTTTCTCTTAATTTCCATTTTATTCAAATTTTAATTTGTAAAGAAATAAAATTAATGTCAGTGATGAGCTTTTCTACTTCGTGATGAGAAGCTTTGTTGCAAGATAAATTACAGTTGAACCGACAACTGCTTATTTCGTTTCGATGACATCACAAGCGCGACAATGTTGTTCAAATTGTGTAATGCGTGGGTGGACTAGACACGGAACAATTTTTCAAAAAAATTAAACTGGTTCGTTGAATGATCTTAGAGACAGTTTTATGTTAGTTATCTAACACAAAATCAGCATCTTCAATGAAAAAGGGCGAAGTTTCTTTTTTTTATTAAGTAATGACGTCAAGTTTGTTCATTCATGATTAAGCTTTCATTCCTTTTTGTTATTTTAAACTTATGAATCTGCCCAGAAATATCTCAGCTCTCAACATGCTTCAACAAATCTCTCATGAGAACAAAATAAAATGGAAAAAAAATGCTAAAAATACAACAGAAGGAAAAAATTTTCGCTAACGACGTTGAATATTATCGTTGAAGTGTCGCATAATCGTAACTAAGAAACATATTTACTTACCATGTTACGTAACACTTGTGCGTGTGATTACCGAAAGCTTCAATGTCAGAATATTTAGCATATTAGAGACTTGTAAAAGATGTCAAGACTCAATTGATATCAATTCGCTTTTCGCAAGTTAATGCTAAGTATTTAATGGAAAACATGCACACAAACACCTCATTGAGATTGTGAATTGTGATGCAATGAAAGTTAAGAAAAATCTTGGCAATTATCGGCAATTGACTTGATAACTTTCACTTGAATACTCCATTACATTCATTAAACAACAATCGCAGCTGATGAAATGAATCTGATTTGAAAGTTTCGAGATGAAAATGAAGAAGGAGAAAGAAGAAAACTTTCTGATGAGAGAAATATCGATTCGAAATGTTATTTTCGTGACGTGACGATGCGACCGTGATATTTATTTAAACACATTAAGGTTTTAATATTATTAATTGCGAGTTCTTTGATTTGAAGTTGTTAAAGTTAGCTTCAACTAGGTGGTGATTGTAAAAATAGCAGCGTCGAGTCAAGAAACGGGTCAAGTTTTCATGAGATTTACAGAAGTTTATTGAGTTGCTTTTAATTTAATTTACCGACATCGATTCCGACAATTTTCAAATATTTTAATTAAATATTCTCTCATATTTGTAAACAGCTTGAGGCAAAAATGCAACTTAATGAATCTTTTGATCGTACACCTCAAACGAGAGCTCGTTAAATGACAAAATTGGAAAATCATGACAAATCTTTAAAAGGCTTGAAAAGATTTTTAAAAGCTTACGAAACTTTTAAGAAATAGTTAAATGGCAAAGATCGAGCGTTGATTTTGAGACGCAAAAATATTTTTAAATGAAAAATGTTGCTTGGGTTCATCACCAACAATGAATAAATTTAAATTTAAATTTGTTTTTATCACCTGTCTAAGCTTTTGTTCAATAAATATTTAAATAATTCATGCTCTGAATATGTTTAAGCCATCCAACGTGACGCTGTCGCTAATTTTCCAATATTTACTTGCATTACAAATTATTAAATTCCATTAGAAGCAACACCCACGAACTTCAAAGTTGCTGCTGATTTCTGTCAAGGCGAGTCTCATGTCGCTTTTTTTCCATCATGCTGAACGTGATGTTTTTGTTCGTTTAATTTGAAACTCTTGTTCATGAGTTAAAATAAATCTTTCGACAAACTTCTCTCAATGGCGATAAAAACGAAACTTTCACCGAAATCATTGTAAAGGAAATTCGAAGACTCGCGAAACAAATGAAGACGAGATTTGGTTTGATAAACCTCGATGAGTGAAAATATTCGATGTTTGATCCACTAATCGCTTGATTTTGTGTTGGTGTTTGAACAAATATTTATTCCTCTAAGCTTCTCACAGCCGTCTGATGATGATGGAATGGAAAATCTCATCATCATCATCAGAGTAGGGAGTGCACGACTGTACACTAAAGCGATTAAGAATACAGGAATATAAATTCCAACTTGTTAAAAGGAATTGTTATGGAATGGAAAATCTCAAGAAGTTTATTTTTTTATCTTCTAAGATGAATCCTGAATATCTCTTTTTAATATGACGATTAAATGAGTTCTCATCATGATTACGATATGAATGAAATCGAAACTTTCTTTCTCTAATTTCCATAAACATCCTGAGAGTAGGAAACGCGATGAAATTCGGGTCGACATTAAAATTCAGTTGATGATGTTCCAATTTGTATGAAGACGATAAATCAGGTCATTCATTCACTCTAATGAAGAATAATATTTTCATTACTTGCTGACTTCGTGTAGACGAAATTATGTAACGAATTTTATGGTTTGGACACTGACATTATTAATTTTCTTATTTTTATGCTTATTTTGAAAACGAGAATCGATTTCTGAAGCATGACTGACGATGAATCGCAAAAATCTTCTGTTTATTTATTTATTTATTCGTATTTCCAACTTCTCTGTCTTTTTTTCTTAATCTTGAATCTCTCATAAAAACCAGAAGATGCTAAAATTAGCGCGTGGAATCTGAAGAGAAGTCTCAATGTATGTTTACTATCATTTGAGAAGACTTAAAAATAAAAAATTCACATACAACTTACAAAGCGTTGCCATTGTGGCTAAAGTGAACAACGAAGACAACGACGAGAGAAAATCCTCAACGATGAAAATTTTATCAACTTTATAAATTTCTTTTCTTAAAAACAAACAAACGAAAGAAGCAACAAACTCTGTGGAATTGCAAATTACAAGTGCATTAAAGAAGTGAACGGCAACGTTGATGAAAATTGCGTATGGCGAACTCTAAGCGAGACACAAATAGAAAAAATTTGTTTTAAATATTTTACAAGAGAAAATCTTGTCAACGGCATTGCCAAGTCAACTTTCTTCCGATTTCATTTGGAATATTTAAATAGCAAAGACTAATTTGAGGTAATTAAATGCATTCAACTAATGAATTCGTTGTCAGCGACTTCACGGTAGATTTAAAATTAGCCGCACATAATTAAAGATTGTGATGTTCAAAGGCAAGTTTCATGGAAAGTGAATTGATTTATATTTACTTCCATTCACAGCTCATAATTATCTTCACTGAATCGATCAATGAAGACAGTAAATCGCTTCATTCAAGGAAGAAAAACAGAAATTTTTATTTCTTTTTCGGCGTTTTCTGAAGGTTGATGATTCATCGAAAAGATTGTTGACCGAGTTTGCAGTACTGTGAAGTGATTGTTTCCATCCAATTCATCTTAAATTCGAAGAACTTTAACGTTTAAACGTGTAATTGGAAAACTTCATTGATCTTTGCACCAACAAAAATAAATTGAAATGTTTACAAGAAATATTTCTGCAAGCAGATGCGATTTGAAGATTTCTTTCTTCTCTCTTTGCTAAAAGAACCAAAACAAATGAATGTTTGCACCTAATTTGTTTTTTTCTTTTATTGATTTGTTGAATTCCATTCGGAAGGTAATTTTGGTTCAATTTACATCTACAAAAGTGCAAAGAACTTTTCCTTCAATCTTCATAAAAGAAAACCACAAAAGATTTTTTTGTTCATGAAGTTTTGTGGTCGAATTTTTTTAAAGACTCACTCAAGGCAGTTTTCAAATATTTTATTTTTCTTTTGTCTCATTCGATCACGTGCGCTCTATTTAGTTTAGTAAATAAGAGTTTTCGCATGTAGAAGCACAACAAATTACAATAATCATGCTTTGACCTATTTCCGGGCGTAACGAGAATCAACTTTTTTTTACACATTTGCCCTTCAATTTATTTCTTCCTTGAACTTCTGGCAGAGAAGATTCTTCTTCCAAAGATCGTTTTTACAAGGCAAGACAAGTCAACAATTTGCTTAACATTTATACACTTTTTATGTACAGTGTAAAGTGTAAACAAACTACTCAATGTTGACATCATTGTGGAAAATTTATTATAATGATATCTACATATGTGCAAAAGAAGCGTCGACGAAACATCACACCAACTGATGTAGCACATGTTTAACCACTTGATTATGTATGAGAATACTCAACAATTCCACTTGTAGGATTTTACTTATTTTTTATCTAATATTACAAGAAATATTTATGTCAAAGTGGAGTGACTTGTATGACTTCTGGATTAGATTATAATTTGTTGTGGAATGTCATAAAAAGTTGAAAGTTCCTTCAACAGTTGTAGGTGGTTAATTGGAATGTTGACATTAATTGTGTTAACTTAAATAGTTAAACTGTAAACACCTTCGTACGTCCATGAAAGGAATTGACTTGAGATGTTTATTTTTATAACGACAACCATTTTCAAGCAATCATTTCTTACGTCAATTCAATATTTGTCAGCATCAGGGGTTTGCACATGCTCGGTTTGACTATCTGACTTTGCTTTTTCACTGTCTTCACTTGATCTGAGTTTGAATTTTGTTGACCTGGGACGATCACCAACTCGGCTCGTTTGAAAAGGAATTGACCAACTCAACTCAAACCCCTGATTCAGCACACAGTTCAACGACATCATTTGATGAAAACCTTTTCACTTTTTTCTCATATTTTTCCGAAATCAAATGCAAGATTAATAAGCAATTCTGCTTCGCATTAACAAATCAATGAACCATGTTTGCAAATCGTTTTTATTTCTTGGAAAAGGCCAACAATGATGACTTTTTGACTGCTTTATGAAACTTTCTTTTCTTTGATTGCAATGAATTTGAAATTGTCATTTTTTAATATTCAATCAAAGGAGTTGCTTTGTGGTCGACTTTATTGAAGGTAAATTGATATTTCTTATGGAATACGGAAAAGATTTATTGCGGCAGCTTTTAAAATTGAACTTTTGTCAGTCTCGATCACTCTCCTGACCTTCTCATAAAACGCTAAATGGCAAAGACTTCATCGCCCTTAAATTCATTTCATCTTTATTGTTAATTCACTTGAATATTGAACCGAATTTTAAACACACACATGGACAAACACCCACTTCAAAGCTTTATAACTGAATCATCGCCCACTTTTCTTTAAAAAATGAACAAAAAAGAAACACCGAAGCGCCAAAATTACCACCACACATTGTTTGAATAACACTTTTGAGATATGAAGTCGCTCGCTGGATGAAATAACTTTGTAAACAAATTAATTAACTGTTTATGTTTCTTTAGATTTTACAAAATTTGGGGAAGGTCGACCGAACGGCTGATGAAATATTTGATGAGCACTTAAACAACTTCCAGTTACAGCAGAATTCAGCCAATCGATTACAAAAGGAATTCAACAATTACATAAGATGCATTCGAGGTGAGAAGGAAAAGAAAGAAAACGATTGATCGACAGTTCAATTAATAATAATAATTTGATGAAATCATTTCAGCTGTTCAAGTAGCATCAAAGTCACTGATGGAAGCCATAACTGAAGTTTATGAGCCACAATGGACGGGCTCAGATGCACTTTACAATAATGCGTCGACAATCGAAGTATTATGGCAAGATTTCTCGCACAAACTTGGAGACCAAGTGTTGATACCACTGAATACTTATACGGCACAATTTCCAGAAATGAGGGTGAGTAAATTTGTTTAATGCAAATTGATTGTTTAAGGAACGCGAAACATTTTCTTATTTAAATTTAACGAACAGAAAAAGATCGACAAGCGTGGGCGAAAGTTGGTTGACTACGACAGTCAACGTCATTCCTTCCAGAATCTTCAAGCCAATGCCGCTAAGCGTAAAGATGATGTGAAGTTGACTAAGGGACGAGAGAATCTTGAAGAAGCCAAACGAACATATGAACTCCTCAACACGGAATTACACGATGAACTTCCAGCCCTTTATGACTCGAGAATACTTTTCCTGGTTACGAATTTGCAGACACTTTTCGCATCGGAACAATTGTTTCACAGTGAAACGACAAAGATTTATGCAGAACTGGAAGCGATTGTTGACAAGCTGGCAACGGAATCACAACGTGGATCGTACACACTGAAGAAACTGAATTGTGAGTTGAATTTTAGTTTGACTTAAAAGGTAAAAGTTTGATGATTTATTTGACATTTAGCAACATCAAACAACATCCAATCGCCGATTAAGAACATCGAAATCAATAATGCCCCAAATTATCCTCCAATCACGAATGGAAATTCAGCAGCCGCAAATGATGGTAAGAAAGTTTTCAATCTTTTTAGTAAGAAATTCATCTTTCATCTTTCGCGACTTTTCTTATTCATTTCATTCTTAAATGTGGTTCTTTTTTTGGCCGTGAATTAATTCAATTGAATGAGCTTTGACAGTGTTTCTTATAATTAATTAAATGGAGTTATTGATCAACTCAGTGACTTTCTATCGACTGTTGTCATAAATTATGCCAAAGATGATGACAATTAGCAGTCGACAGTTAGTCTTGATCATTCAATTCATTCATCTCATAAACTAAACTCGATAATAATTTTATTTTAATTCTCAAACAATGATTCATAAATTGATTTTGCAAATTGACGTAAAAACAACACAAAAATAAACACAAATTTAGATGTTGACGCTTTTGCATATGAAATTTACTTAAAAAGTAGAGTCGTTGATGGGATTAAAACAAATTAATCGATTAATTAAATTTTTACTTTTGATGGATTGTTTTTTAATTACGAATGAAGCTCATTCGTGGAACATCAGAAGAAAAATAAAACCAAAAAGCTCTTTTCTATTATTTCATTGAAATAAAAACAAATTCAATATAACCAGAACAACAAGAAAAGAAATAAAAAAAACAATCATAAAACTCGAAATGTTCCAGCCACATCATCTCCATCGCCACCATCATCAACCAACTCACCGACACCATACGAACAAGAACCGCATTCGCAAGGTGAACAGCAGTATCAGAATCAAGAAAGTTTGGCAATGAATGAGCCATCTTATCAGAATGCGTCAGCTGTGGTCATGAATGCGAACAGCAATGTCATTAACAACAATGTTGAATCCTCGACAACTGTCACTACAAATGGCAACATCAGTAAGAGTGAAGAGAAGGTTGAAGTTACTTCAGCGTCAAGTGACGTAGCAGCATCAACGACAACGCCATCAAAAGAAGATTCACATTTAAACAATCATAACAGTCAGATTAACATTAGTAAGGAAACAATAAATCAAAATACTAATCAAAATCGAAATAGTCTTGCAAAGAAAAATAATAACAATGACAATAATAACCCGGATGAAATGTTATACGATATTCCTGTGGGTGAGTAAAACACAAACGAGCTTATCACCTTCACAACACTTTCTTGCGCTTTTCCTTTTACTACATTTTCTTATTGCGATGAAAATCTTTCTCCATTTCCTTCTCTCTTTCTAACAACTAAACAATAAAATAATAATAAAAGTTTTTTGATCATTTTCCCAAGCTTTATTACAAAAATTTATTTGTTTCGTCATCAAACTGAACTTTGATGACGGAAATGCTTTGTTGTTGTTATTTTTTTGAGCTTTCATTTTTATAAATAAAAAGGAAATATTTCTCGTTTTTATGTTGGATTTCTTTAATGATTTCTGTTGATGTTTTAGGTGCCACAACGACTAACCTTCCACCAGGCGTTTTATATCGAGTTAAAGCAACTTACAAATATGTACGAGAAGATGGTGATGAGCTGAGCTTTGATGTTGGCGATGTCATAAATGTTATTGAGTATGACGATCCAGAGGATCAAGTAAGTTAACATTTCTCTCCTTACATCTTTCAATATGACTCAAAATATTCTTTTAATTCCTTTTCAGGAGGAGGGATGGTTGATGGGAGTGAAAGAAGGTTCAACTGAGAAAGGAATGTTCCCAGCGAACTTCACAAAGCCAATGTAATCAATTAAACCAATAACATTTTCTGTTTCGTCAATTTTATACAAGAAGAAAGAAATTTATCATTAAAAAAATAATATTTTAAAAGTTTTCATCATTTTCTTCCATCACAAGAGAATGGAAATTGTTGTGGTTCGTGCTTTAAAGGTTTGTTTTGGGATCGTGTAGAGAGAAAAGCGTTTTTAAAAGAAATTTTGATTTTTCTTCCTGTTAAAACAATGAAAGATTTTAAAACGACGGTCGATCCCCACTATCCATTCAACAGATGCCAATTAAATGTAAAGTCAATGTCAGAAAATGTCTTTTCTTCCACTTTAAATCTTCCTTTCTTTAACTGAACAAAACAAAAAATTATCAAAGTGTCAAATGCAGGGACGGAAACAAATTTGTAAAAATATTTATACCGAATGATGAATGGAATGAAGTGCCTTTATTTGAATGAAGAATCGCCGCATTGTGTGTTTGCGAAGTTTTCTTATCGTCCCCAGATGGTTTCTTATCTTTTAATTGTCGGCCTATTTGCCATCCACGCACCTTCTTGTTGTTAGTTACTTATTATTATTATTATTATTTTAACCACAATTTAACATTGTTTAACTGATGAAATCTTAAGTTAATTTTCAAGGCAAAAACTCTTTGTTGATTAATTCATTTTAATTATCTATTTTCAAACATTTAAACCGAAGAGAAGAAGATGAAATAAAGAAATCAATTATTTGTAATTTAACGTATGATTAATTTTAAACAAACAAGAGATGGAATAAAAAGAATTGTTTAGAATGCAAGAATAAAAAAATGAAGTGAAATGAAAAAAACAAACAAACAAATATTTAAAAGAAATAAATTTTGTGTAGAAATGATTAATTAATTCAAGAATTTTCATTTATTTACTTGAATTTTCAGAGGTTTCGAGTGGAAGAAATGCCGATTGGAGACAAGAAATTTCCACAAAGCTTTTAATACTTGAAAGACTTTCAGGTGTTGATTTTGTTATCGATTTTGGTGATTTATGAAAGTCATTATTTGTTATTAATTATCAACTGATAAAAGATTCAAGTATGTTTATCAATTGAATAAAGTTTTCTTAAAAGAATCTGATAATTTATCGCTCTGATAAGATTGCCTCGTTTGTCTCAAGAAAATATTCCAGAAAAATAGTTTGCAATCGATTTTGAAATGTTGCGAGTTGTGGTTCTTGTGATTTTAGTTGGGGTTTCTCTTGGTGTAAGCATCCATGGAAACGGAAGAATTGTTGGTGGTCAGGAAGTGAGTTAAACCTTCAACATAATTCTACTGAAATTTCGAGTTATAAATTCACTTTTTAAAAGGCTGCACCAGCCCAATTTCCTTATCAAGTTTCATTAAGAAATCTTGCTGCTGATGGAGTTCATTTCTGTATGGGCGTCATTTTAAACCAAAGATGGGTCGCCACGACAGTTCGTTGCACTTTCTGGCGAATGCCTGTTGAAAATATTGCTGTTGTTGCAGGAAGTAATCGTTTGAGTTCTGGTGGCACAACTTACAGAGCCATTCATGTCGTTGAACATCCTGAATATCGAGTAAATGATTTTTTAACTGTTTTTAGTAATGTTTTAACTTTTTTCTTAATCAGCAAGAAGGATTCATGACATATGAGAATGACATCTCACTGATTCAAGTAGATCGAAACATCGTTTTTTCAGCTACAATCGCGTCAATTCCAATTAGTTCAAACTTTATCGGTGGTGGAGTGAATGTTGACATTGCTGGTTTTGGTACAAGATCAGCTGAAGAAACTGTTCATCATGATGCAATGCTCTACTTTAGATCAACTACTTTGACAAATGCAGATTCCCAAAATCGATTCCCTGAGTTTATGGATGGTGAAATTACTGAAAGAACTTTCTGCACATTCCTAGGAAATGGTCAAGGTGTTTGTCGTGGCTTAGCTGGCGCTGGAGTCGTCGCTAACAATGCTGCTGTTGGTGTAATGAGTTTTGGAAATGTTGGTGGAACTTGTGGAGTCTTCCCTGACTGTCACACGCGTCTGTCATCATTCAGAAGTTGGATTTTAAGTGTCATCGAGTAGAAATGAATTAAAAATTGATAAACGTTTAATAAAAATTTATTCAGGTGTTTGATTTTTATAATTTCATCAACATTGTTTAATTAATGATTTAAAACTCTCCTCCAGATAAATCTTAAGAAGCAAAAAATTATTCAATGCTGAATTGTCTGAAATTAAAACTTTCTTTTGACAACGGCTGAAAACTTCTTAATTCTTTTTTTTAACATTATTTAAATTCAATGAAGTTCATCTTGTAAATTAAGTCGATTATTTGGGAAGCAGGAAACATAGAAACTTTAATTTGTTTCCTTATTAAAAAAGCTCTCTAGATGCTACAACTTGTCGCAATTATTGCTTTGAAGCTTTCGAAATCTTTCGTATCAGGAAAATGTTCCGAAATGCAAGTGTTGGTACGAAAGTTGACTAATCTCAACTTCTTCAAAGGTGTAAACAAATCCAAATCGATGTGCTTAAATTTGTTTTGATCCATGTGAATTTCCTCCAAATTGAAGTTTTTCCTAAAAAGTCGACCATCAAGATATTCAAATTGATTCCTGTAAGCATAAAATTCTCTTAAATTGGGACTTTTGATGAACAAGTCGACGTCAAATGATACAATCTTATTTCCATTAAGAAGTAATCTGTTTAAAGTTGGAACATCATAAAAGGTGTCTGCTGGAATATTACCAAGTTCGTTATAAGAAATCTCAATGCTTGTCAAAGATTGAAATCCGCTGAAATCACTTCTTTGAATGTGCTTCAAATTTGTTTGAAATGCACAATATCTTGCCAGGTTTGGAAATAGTTCTGGGATTCCATGTGGCAGATATGATGTCTCTTGTTGTAAAAGAGAAAATTCTTTGACATCGTTGTTGTTACGTTCTCCTAAATGAACTCCCACCATGACTGATGCCTTTACATTAGGCTGCTGAATGACGAGGTTCTTTGGGAAGCAGTGATATCTTGTACCGTCTTCCAAAACAAACTTGCACGTCATATCAGTTTCAATGTCCATTTCCTTAGCTATCCAGTTTGAAAATTTCGCAACATCAGTGAAGATCGAATATTTTTCAACGTCACACATTCCTTCATCCGTGAAGAGTGAAGAAGAAACGATTCCTTTAATAAACCATTTAATGTTGGCCTTCATATACAAACCACCGCCACTGTCACCTGTAAAGATCATTCGATAATTAAAGCCTAGTTAAAAGTTTCAATGCTCCTTCAATTCACCTTTACACGGTCCACTTCCATTTTCACCGATAGCACAAAATGTGCGACTTGAAATTAAACTTGCCATAGTTTCGTCTTCATAGCAAACTTCATTTGTAACGATCCTCAGATCGACTTGTCTTGCAATTAATTGATGTTGGGTTATCAACTGATCTTCGATGACTCCCCTGAGTTTCAAATAGAAAAAAAGTAGAAAAAAATAAATATTTAGAAGTGAAATTACCAGCCGATAACAGTTCCAGTTTGAATATTTCTCATTCCTAATGCAGAGCTCCATAAGCACGCAGGATAAATATTTGATCTTAAAGGAACAGTTCCAACAATTTTGATTAATGCAATGTCTGAATCATATTTCACTTGATAAATATTCCAATCGGGATGAATTTTTATCTTTTCAGGAAAAGCTGTGATTGAGCCGCGTTCATAGACAACACTCAAATTATATTTTCCGAGATGCAGAACGAATTCTGATGGTGATGAAGGTGTTTCCTGACCCTTTTCTTGAAGACAATGTGCAGCTGTTAAGACGTGACTACGTGAAATGAGAGTTCCGCCACAGAAAAACTTCCCATCGGCAGTATACATCAATGCCACTAAGAACGGCCACTGATTTCTTTTCACCACTTTTCCATTGTAGATTAGTCCACTAGCACTTAAAGATACACCACACTGGTTCTCAGCGTTTGGCCCTTCTACTAGATGACCAGATTGAATTTGCGTTATCGCAAGAAAAATAAGCAAAAATTTCAGCACGACTGTGACGTTCGAAATCATTTTTAGAAATAATTTTATTGAAGGAGATTTTGTGAATATCATTTCTCTTCTCAATGTTCGTAATAATTGATAAGGCAAGTTTGTCAGGTCAAAGATCACTCAATGAAAAACTCGAAATTTTTATTTACGCTTTAAAATTTATTACGTTTGTTGATCAGGCAATTCCAAGTCATTTTATTTTACAGATTTTATGTTTGCATAAGTCCTTGTGAATTTTTAATGTAGTAGAAATTTTCAATATCAAAGTTGATTACTTGTGAAAATGTTATTGTCAATTATGTTCACAAANATTTAAAACTCTCCTCCAGATAAATCTTAAGAAGCGAAAAATTATTCAATGCTGAATTATCTGAAATTAAAACTTTCTTTTGACACGGCTAAAAACTTCTAAATTCTTTTTTCTAACATTATTTAAATTCAATGAAGTTCATCTTGTAAATAGATAAGTTGATTACTTGGGAAATAGGAAAAATAGAAACTTTAATTTGTTTCGTTATTAAAAAATCTCTCTACATGCTACAATTTGACGCAATTATTGCTTTGAAGTCATCGAAATATATAGTTTTAGGATAAAATTCCGAAATGCAAGTGTTGTCCAGAAAGTTGACATAACTCAACTTTCTCGAATGTGTGAATAAATCTAAATCGATGTACTTCAATTTGTTTTCACTCATGTGGATTCTTTCCAAATTGAAGTTTTTCCTAAAAAGTCGACCATCGAGATTTTCAATTTGATTCTCGTAAGCATAAAATTCTTCTAAATTGGGACTATTGATGAACAAATCTACGTCAAATGAAGCAATCTGACTTTTAACAAGTCTTAAATATTTTAAACCTGGAACATCATAAAAGGTGTCTGCTGGAATATTAACAAGCTCACTTTCAGAAATCTCAATGCCTGTCAAAAATTGAAAACCGCTAAAATCACTTCTTTGAATGTGCTTCAAATTTGTTTCATATGCACAATAGCTTCTCAGGTTTGGGAAGAGTTCCGGAATTCCATGTGGCAGATATGATGTGTTTTGGCGTTGGAGAAAAAACACATTGACATCGCTGTTGTTGCGTTGGTCTGAATGATATCCCTTCATTACTGATACCTTTACATAAGGCTGCTGAATAACGAGGTTTTTTGGGTAGCAGGTATACATTTCACGATGTAGATCAAACTTGCACGTCATATCAGTTTCAATTGCGAATTCTTTAGCTATCCAATTAGTAAATTTTGTAACATCAGTGAAGACTGAATAACTTTCATCGTCACAAATTTCTTCATCCGTGTGAAGTGAAGACAAAATGATTCCTTTAATAAACCATTTAACATTGGCCTTCATATATAAACCACCGCCACTGATACCTGTAAAGATCATTTGGTAATGAAAACTTTAAAGTTTCAATATAATTCAGTTCACCTTTACACGGTCCACTTCCATTTTCACCCTTAGCACAAAATGTGCGACTTGAAATTAAACTTGCAATAACTTCGTCTTCATAGCAAACTGGATTAGTAACAATTTTCAGCTCGATATGTCTTGGAATTGATTGATGTTGGGATTTCAGCTGATCTTTGGTGACTCCCCTAAATTCCAAATAGAATACAAGCAGAAAAAATAAAATATCAGAGAACTTACCAGCCGATAACAGTTCCAGTTTGATAATTTCTCACTCCTAATTCGGACGTCCATAAGCACGCAGGATAAATATTTGAACTTAAAGGGACAGTTCCATAAATTTTGATTAATGCAATGTCTGAATCATATTTCACTTGACGAATATTCCACTTGGGATGAATTGTTATCTTTTCAGGAAAAGCTGTGATTGAACCGGGTTCATAGAGGGCACTCAAATTATATTTTCCGAGATGCAAAACAAATTGTGATGGCGTTAAAGGTGTTTCCTGGCCTTTGTCTTGAAGACAATGTGCAGCTGTTAGGACGTGACTACGTGAAATGAGAGTTCCACCACAGAAAAACTTCATATCGGCAACATACATCAATGCCACTAAGAACGGCCACTCGTTTGTTTTCACCACTTTTCCATTGTTCACTAATTCACTTTCATTTAAGGATAAACCACACTGGTTCTCAGCGTTTGGTCCTTCTACTAGATTATCAGATTGAATTTGCGTTATCGCAAAAAGAATGAGCAAAAATTTCAGCACAACTGCGACGTTCGAAATCATTTTTAGAAATAATCTTAGCGAAGGAGATTTTGTGAATTTCATTCCTCTTCTCAATGTTCGTAATCATTGATAAGGCAAGTTTGTCAGGTCAAAGCTCACTCAATCAAAAACTCGAAATTTTTAATTACGCTTTAAATATTATATATAATGATGATGATGAAATGATGCACAGAATTTATGTGTTAACGTTTTGCCAGAGATGGGCAAATGTTCCCTTCAACTCGATTGACTGACTGACTGACATGTCAATGTCTGTCAGTCAGTCAGTCAGTCAAAATTGCGAACAAAAATATTCGTTTGTTGGGAAACGTTCATATAAATGTCCCGCTTAAGTCATTTGACTGACTGACTGACAAGTCAATGTCTGTCAGTCAGTCAGTCAAATCCCAACTCTGCGTTTTGCAGTAATTTTTAGAAAACTTCAAGTTAACTTTTTACTGTGATAATCGAGTGATGTTAGATATATAAAACTTTCAAGATTCCCAACAAATGTAAAATTCATGATAAAAAATTCTTGACGTTACATTGTTGTTGGAAGGGCCTGATGAAGAAGCCAACAAGCTTCGAAACATTGCCAACTTCACGAAAATAAACAAGTAAAACTCTTCCGACTGAAAGCCAACATATTTCGTTTCATTTTAATTATCAACCAGTCGTACAATCACCAAAGAAAAATTATTATGTTTAAGTTGATCAGGGAATTCCAAGTCATTTTATTTTATAGATTTTATGTTTGCATAAGTCCTTGTGAATTTTTTAATGATAGTAGAAATTTTCAATAACAAAGTTGATTACTTGGGAAAAAGTTATTGTCAAATTATATTCACATAGAAACATTAATTTGTTTGGTTTTTACATGAAAGCAAGTATAAAACTCTATTTCAAAATCTTATTAAAATAATTCAACTTGAATGTTAAAATTTTCTGTCAATCTATCTGTCACCAAAAAATTCCAAGTGAAATTTTAGATGCTACAACTTGTCGCAATTATTGCTTTGAAGCTTTCGAAATCTTTCGTTTCAGGAAAATGTTCCGAAATGCAAGTGTTGTGTCGAAAGTTGACTAATTTCAACTTCTTCAAAGGTGTAAACAAATCCAAATCGATGTACTTAAATTTGTTATAATCCATGTGAATTTCCTCCAAATTGAAGTTTTTCCTAAATAGTCGACCATCGAGATATTCAATTTGATTTCTGAAAGCATAAAATGTTTTTAAGTTGGGACTTTTGATGAACAAATCGACGTCAAATGAGGCAATTTGATTTCCACGAAGACTTAAATATTCTAAACCTGGTACATCATAAAAGGTGTCTGCTGGAATATTAACAAGTTCGTTTTCAGCCATCACAATGATTGTCAAGAATTGAAAACCGCTGAAATCACTTCTTTGAATGTGCTTTAATTTTGTGTGGTATCCTGAATATCTTCTCACGTTTGGAAAGAGTTCCGGAACTCCATGTGGCAAATATGATGTCTCTTGGTGTTCCACAGAAAAATATTTGACGTCGTTATTGTTGCGCTGTCCTAAATGAACTCCAATTATATTTGAGACTTTAACATTAGGCTGGTGAATGACGAGCTTTTCTGGCCAGCAGTGATATCCGTTTTTATACTGATCTGTACCGTCATCTAAAATAAACTTGCATGTTATATCAGTTTCAATGTCCATTTCCTTAGCTATCCAGTTTGAAAATTTCGCAACATCAGTGAAGATCGAATATTTTTCAACGTCACACATTCCTTCATCCGTGAGGAGTGAAGAAGAAACGATTCCTTTAATAAACCATTTAATGTTGGCCTTCATATACAAACCACCACCACTGTCACCTGTAAAGATCATTCGATAATTAAAACCTAGTTAAAAGTTTCAATATTCCTTCAATTCACCTTTACACGGTCCACTTCCATTTTCACCGATAGCACAAAATGTGCGACTTGAAATTAAACCTGCCATAAATTTGTTTTCATAACAAACTTCATTTGTAACAACCTTCAGATCGATTTGTCTTGGAATTAATTGATTTTGGGTTGTCAACTGATCTTCGATGACTCCCCTGAGTTTCAAATAGAAAATAAGTAGAAAAAAATAATTAAATATCAGAGAACTTACCATCCGACAACAGTTCCAGTTTGAATATTTCTCATTCCTATTGCAGAGCTCCATAAGCAAGCAGGATAAATATTCGATCTTAAAGGGACAGTTCCATCAATTTTAATTAATGCAATGTCTGAATCATATTTCACTTGATAAATATTCCAATTAGGATGAATTTTTATCTTTTCAGGAAAAGCTGTGATTGAGCCGCGATCATAGACAAGACTCAAATTATATTTTCCGAGATGCAAAACGAATTCTGATGGTGTTAAAGGTGCTTCCTGACCCTTTTCTTGAAGGCAATGTGCAGCTGTTAGGACATGACTGCGTGAAATGAGAGTTCCACTACAGAAAAACTTCCCATCGGCAGTATACATCAATGCCACCAAGAACGGCCACTGATTTCTTTTCACCACTTTTCCATTGTAGATTAGTCCACTAGCACTTAAAGATACACCACACTGGTTCTCAGCGTTTGGCCCTTCTACTAGATTATCAGATTGAATTTGCGTTATCGTGAAAAAAATAAGCAAAAATTTCAGCACGACTGCGACGTTTGAAATCATTTTTAGAAATAATTTTATTGAAGGAGATTTTGTGAATTTCATTTCTCTTCTCAATATAATCATTGATAAGGCAAGTTTGTCAGGTCAAAGATCACTCAATGAAAAACTCGAAATTTTTATTCACGCTTTAAAATTTATTATATTTGTTGATCAGGGAATTCCAAGTCATTTTATTTTGTAGATTTTATGTTTGCATAAGTCCTTAATTTTAATCCTGATACATTTTAAAAGGTGTCTGCTGGAATATTAACAAGTTCGTTTTCAGACAACCCAATGATTGTCAAAGATTGAAATCCGCTGAAATCACTACTTTGAATGTGCTTCAAATTTGTTTTAAATGCACAATATTTTGTCAGGTTTGGAAAAAGTTCTGGGATTCCATGTGGTAGATGTGATGTCTCTTGGTGTAAAAGAGAAAATTCTTTGACATCGTTGTTGTTACGTTGGCTTAAATGAAATCCAAACATTACAGATATCTTAACGTTAGGCTGCTGAATGACGAGGTTTTCTAGCCAGCAAGTATACTTACGTTGTACCTGGTCCTTAACTAAACTTGCACGTCATATCAGTTTCAATGTCCATTTCCTTAGCTATCCAATTTGCAAATTTCGCAACATCAGTGAAGATCGAATAACTTTCAACGTCACACATTCCTTCATCCGTGAGAAGTGAAGACGAAAATATTCCTTTAATAAACCATTTAATGTTGACCTTCATATATAAACCACCGCCACTGTCACCTTCAAAGATCATTCGATAATTAAAGCCTAGTTAAAAGTTTCAATATTCCTTCACTTCACCTTTACATGGTCCACTTCCATTTTCACCGATAGCACAAAATGTGCGACTTGAAATTAAACCTGCCATAAATTCGTCTTCATAGCAAACTTCATTTGTAACAATCCTCAGATCGATTTGTCTTGGAATTAATTGATTTTGGGTTATCAATTGATCTTCAGTAGCTCCCCTGAGTTTCACATAGGAGTCAATTTGGAATGAATGATAAAATATCAGAGAACTTACCATCCGAAAACAGTTTGAATATTTTTCATTTCTAATGCAGACGTCTATAAGCACGCAGGATAAATATTCGAACCTAAAGGAACAGTTCTAACAATTTTAATTAATGCAATGTCTGAATCATATTTCACTTGATAAATATTCCAATTAGGATGAATTTTTATCTTTTCAGGAAAAGCTGTGATTGAGCCGCGTTCATAGACAAGACTCAAATTATATTTTCCGAGATGCAAAACAAATTGTGATGGTGTTATGAGTGTAAGCTGACCTTTTTCTTGGAGACAATGTGCAGCTGTTAGGACGTGACTACGTGAAATGAGAGTTCCACCACAGAAAAACTTCCCATCGGCAATAAGCATCAATGCCACCAAGAACGGCCACTGATTTCTTTTCACCACTTTGCCATTGTAGATTAGTCCGCCAGCTCTTAAGGATACACCACACTGGTTCTCAGCGTTTGATCTTTTTACAACGGTACCCGATTGTATTTGCGTTATCGCAAAAATTTCAGCACAACTGCGACGTTCGAAATCATTTTTACAAATGTGAATTTCATTCCTTTTCTCAATATTTATAATTATTGATAATGCGAGTTTCTCAGGTTAAAAAGCACTCAAATGAAAGCTGGAAATTTTGTTTTCATCTTAAAGTTTACATTTGTTCCTTTGTTTATCAGGGAATTCCAAGTCATTATACATGACCGTATGACAAGAAAAGATTGAATTAATTTAGGAGATACGAAATTGAATAAATTTGGAAATTTGTATCATCGCAATTATATGTAAAAGTGCATCATGGCAAACATTACCTAAAGCTATTTCAACATCTCCAGCTGCCAAATAAAAATTCATTCAGGTGTTTAATTTCCATAATTTCATCAACATTGATTCATTAATTATTTAAAACTCTCCTCAATTTTTCAGATAAACTTTGGAAAGCGAAAAATTATTCAATGATGATTTATTTAAATCAAAACTTTCTCTTGACGATAGTTGAAAACTTTTTAATGTCATTTAGCTAACCTTGAACAATAAATTTCATGAACCTCATCTTAGATAGACAGAAATTTTTGATTATCCAATCTGATTAAATAAATTTTGAATCCTTGTCCTTAGTAACAATTTTCCTTTCCGTCTGCATTATTAAATAACTTAAAACTCGATCATGAATATTCAATTTAATTATTGAATAAACATGAATGAAAATCGCCACATGGATAATTAATGAAAATGAGGTTTTTCTTCGACTATAAAAGAAAAGTGTTGACAAAGAAAATTTGTTAGTTTATTTTTAATAACGAACCAATAGACTTAGATTTATCTAAATATTATTATCTACCCTTAAGCCCAGTTTAACAATGGGTTTATTAAATAGTTTTCTAATTGTACTATTAGCAATGATTTTCTTGGGATCAATTGACCAAACTTTGTCATCGGCAATGCCAGCGTAAGAAACCTTCGGTCTTTGTAACTGTACAATAGAAATAATTAATTGTAATTTACATTCAGATACGATACCATGCAATGTTTGTTTCATTCATCATCTGATGATCCAAATACATGTTTGTTAGGTGGTAAGCAAACAGCATGTCAAACATACAAATGTTATCGCACAATTGGCCACAGTTGTTCCACTGGACATGTAGCAAAGCTAACAGGGGATGAATGTGGTGGATCTTTGACTTGCGGTAAGATTAAAAATACTTAAATGTGACATTATAAGATATTTATTAAATCTTATCCAAAAGGTTGTGATAAAAAATGCAATGGCTGTATAACTGTGAATGGTGAAAGAAAATGTTATTGGGGCGAGTGTATGCCATTTAGGCCCAATGGAAAGAGAGATCAAATGAAGTTAATTCCATCTTCACTTGATTTACATGACAGAAGCATTGAATATCCGATTGAAGATTCGAGAGTGATTTAAAGGAAATTTGACAAGCCATTGGACACACGATTTTTTGATCTCGGCAAAAACAAGAAAACTCATTCAAAATTTATGCTTTTAATGTTAAATAACAAATAATGTCTCTCTTCTGATGGAAAAATGTTTAATTCATGGAGCTTTATGGAAAGCTCCGTTATTTAAACAATGCTGGAATTTTTCCAAGAATATCTTGAGTCATTGTTTCTGTAATGTTGCAAAAGGAAAAAATAATAAAAAAAAGCTTTTTTAAGTTGCTGCATCAAAGGAAAATTTCTCAGTTGTTTTCAAGGGAAAAAAGAATTTTCATTTTCCTCGATTTAACGTCGACTAATTTTCATGTTGAAAAGTTTGGACGGCGTTAAAACGAACTGATTTGGATGAAACTTTAATTCTCCGTCTTGCATTTCCTTGTCATTTAATTCAAGATTAAACTTTGAGAAGATGATTGAAAGTCCAATTTTTGTGGTCAACTTTCCAAGTCGCATTCCAATGCAATTTCTTGGTCCATCGCCAAATGGAGTGTAGAAAACACCTGTGGCCTTTCCATCTCCATTAGACGAGTTTAAGAATCTTTCAGGTTTAAACTCCAAGGGATTTTCATAAATGTCAGGATCGCGATGAAATCCCAGAGCTGGAATCCATAAGGAAGCTCCTTTTGGTATGACAATGTTACTATCTGCTATCTTGTAATCACGATTTGCCGTTCGAACATGAACAGGAAGAATTGGATACTTTCGTAATGTTTCATCAATAACACATTCGAGATACTTTAGCTCACTTAACATGTCGTAAGTAACACCATCGGGACCAGACGTTTTGAAAACTTTATCAACTTCTTGTTGAACTTTCTGCTGAATTTCTTTGTGTCGTGCCAACTCGAACAAACAGTAAAGTAATGTGGAGCTTGAAGTTTCAAATCCTTAAAGGAAAAGTCAACAAATTTTATTCATAGGAAATTTAAATAAAGCTAAACTTACCAGCAACAAAAAACACGAACGCTTGTGCAATAATTTCATTCAAAGTTAATTTACTTTTAGTGTCCGAATGATTTTTCATTTCTTCAGAATCTTTTTCGCCTTTATCAACTGACACATATCCTTGATTCTTTAATTGAATTAAAAGTTGCATGAAGTCGTTACGTGAAAAGTTTTTCTGCTCACGATATTCAACAGTTTGCTTTACAACTGAAAATATGAAGTCTTCAACATCTCTGTCGAGGATTCGCATATTAAGTTTATGAAATAATGTCGGTGCGAGCAGAGTAATCAGCGCTCTTAATCCGTTCATTAAGTTGGGGTCAAATATCTTGGCACTCATTTGACGGAAAAAATGTTTTGGCTCATTAATGCAATCATTGTCAATCCCAAAAGCTACTGATGAGATAATGTTAATGTTGAAACGTGCCATCAGATCACGAAACTCGAAAACGTTTACACCTTTGTTCACTTGTTCATCTAAATAATCTTCAAGAACCTTTCCAACATTTTTTATGATTGGATACATGGCCTTGATTTTGCCGGACGTAAATGTTGGCGATAATTTGACGCGCAAATCTCGCCATTTTTGTCCACCAATGTTAAACAGATGACCCGAGATGGGATCTTTGTTTTCATCTACCGGCATTGGACGATCGTGGAAAGTTGTGAAATCTCTGATCAAAATATCCTGAACAAGCTTCGGATCTGTGACGACTAATACAGGTTTGTAAGAAATATAAACACCAACAATCCGTTCATTTTTATGTTTGCTGTAAATATCTTTAAAGAATTCTCCCATTGACTTCTTAAACTTTATTAAATCGCCACCATCTCCGTAGAAAAATGAAGGTTCAAGCTGTTTGATCCCACGCTTTGACCAATAACTGAACAAATATTGATTCAACAAATAAACGACTGCAATAGCCAACAACAAAATTAGCACAAAAGCCATGATTGTTGACGATGTTTGATGATTGAAAGAACAAATGAAACTAGTTTTGTTCTCGCTCTTTAACTCTCATTTTATATGAAGTCAATTTTATACCTCCATACACACAATTATCGTATATCTCAAGCATTTGTTTATGGGTTTTAATTCTTTTTATTTAGGTACCCATACGAATATAGAAATGATTAAATATTTCATAATCACGGTGAAATATTTATCATCACAAAAACTTATTTCAAGGTCAGATTACCGAAATTTTTTTTAAGGTAAATAAGTCTTAGAACGTGGATGATTTTTGACTTCTCATTGCTTCTGTTATTATTCATCAATGAAACTTTTCTTCTTTGGAAGAATTGAATGGGATTTCGATTTTGATCATGTTGAGAGAACTTTGAGAGATTTCATTTCATTGCATTCAGTTTCGGAAGGTCATTTCAATACATGTTTTAAGACTTTATTAAATATTGATGAGGCTAACACAAGTTTTGTGTTTGAAGCGATTAATTGGCGAGAGTGACCTTTAAAATTAACTTCATTCATTTAAATCATTCAGCGAGAAGAAATTAATGCGTGATCTTTAACAGAGAAATGTTGTCAAATCCTGTTGTTGTACTCAAACTTATTTTAAAAGCTTCTGTTGAAGTTTTCTGTTAAATAAAATCAAAACAACTCGATTTAAAATAAACTACTAAGTATTTCTTTAAAACATTTCTTTTATTGTTTTCAAATTTGTTGACTTTTTTTTCCATTTTCAATCATTTTTTCTTGTTTTTCTTTAATTTCTTTGAGTGAAAAACTTTTCTCTTCTTAATTTCGTTCATAATCATCCGATTTTCTTTTTCTATCGCTAGACGATAATTTTCCATGATGAATTAATTAAAACAGAAAATTGAAGCACTGAAAACGACAACACAAAATCGTTTCTGCAATTTTCAACGTTGCAATTTTCATTTCGTTCAATTTCTTGTGAAAATAAAAAGAAGGAAAACATCATTTAGCGTTTGAAAAAGTTTTCTTAATTTTTGTTTGTTTCGGTGATAAGAATTAGAAACTACAAAAAAATTGATTTTCTTCATTTTGATTAATTAACTTTTCTCTTTTGTTATTTTTGATGATCTCTTCTTAAGCGCTATTTTTACACAAATTAAAAGTTTATGTAATTTTCGGAAAGAACGAAAAGAAAAATTATAATAGCAATAATAATAATAATTTTAATAATAATAATAATGACAAT